TTGCAGGTCGCACACGGCCAGGATGCTGACCCGTGACCCCGGAATTATGACGCAAAAACCGGTTCAATAAACCCTTAGCGTTCAGACCAGGTTTTTCGGTGGAAAAACCCTTCAAAAACCCCTCAAAAACCACCTCCCGAGGTGGTTTTTCAAAATCGGATTTAAACCCCTAAAAAACCGGTTAATTTGCGTTCACACCAGGTTAAATAAAAACCGGTTTTTGAAAAACCGGTTGAAACCGCTAAATATAAGTCTGGTATGAACAGGGTCTTAGAGTCATTACCCGCTTACCTCCCGTCGCCGTCAGAGCCCCCTCGTGTTTATGAATGGGAAGTCTTTGAAACACTTAGACGACTCATAGCGAATAAAAGTAGTGGCCCTGATGACCTATCCCCTAAAATTGTGAAATGTTTCGCTGCAGAGTTTACTGAAGTACTCACCCATATTTACAACTCCTCCCTCGAGGAAGGCGTCGTCCCTGAACAATGGAAACAGGCCTATATTTCCCCAATCCCGAAAAAGACACCAGCTTCTATAGACAACTTAAGACCTATATCATTGACTTCTATACTAGTTAACGTTCTTGAATCGTTCGTAGCAAAATGGGTTCTCCTTGATGTCTCAAAAGTCCTCGATCCTAACCAGTTTGGCAGCCAAAAAGGCATGTCAACTGTTCATTACTTGACTACCATGACGAATTCTTTATTCCTTAACGCTGAAACGCCAAACAATATACAGACCATCTTGTTAACCGACTTCAGTAAAGCCTTTGATAGGATTAATCACACAAAATTGATAAATAAAATGTTGGAATGTGGGATACGTACGTCGGTTGATACGGTTATGCCTTGGCTTTGCAATTTCATTTCCAACCGTTCGCAGTGTGTCCGATATCATGGTAAAACCTCACAATGGAAAACTATCTCATCTGGAGTCCCGCAAGGTACGAAATTAGGTCCCATTCTGTTTTTGATTTATGTAAATGATGCTCTCCAAGTCAACAGTTTAAATCGATACAAATATGTCGACGACCTCTCTGTTTGTGAAAGTAGACTTCTCTATGAACCCAGCCTTATCCAACCATCTCTTGATCAATTAAATGTCTGGGCTTCCAAAAATGACATGACATTGAATGCTGACAAATGTAAATTAATGATGATTACCTTTATGCGAGATTACCCCCCTCCCCAATTAATTTCTGTCAATGATAAGCCACTAGAATATACAGATGACGCATGTATTCTCGGCCTATGGCTAAGGCGAAAGTTAGCGCTAAGGATGACGGGAAATACTGGATCGCGCAAAGGGTGACGGGAGAACTACTCCCGGAAGCGAGTAGAGAACGTACGTGCCGCGGCGCGCGCGGTGACTTCGCTTTCATTCAACAATAACTCCTTGGCCTATAGCCCATGGGCTCCCACAATGCGGAGAGACGATCCACGTTAGAAAATGTAAACAGTTTAACCAGCTCTTTGCCCCCCTCCCGAGAACAAATCGATACAAAAATAGCCCGATCCCCTATCTTACAAGTCTATTAAACAAATATGGCACATAGTAAATCTCCCATGACCAGCCCTACCAAGATCAGTTATCACGTACCATACTATAAAATTAATAATTTTTACACTGATGATGTTGATATTGTAAATATTGTTAAGTTCATTTTACTCGCTTAATATTTAGTTGTCTATAAGTTAAATGTGAAATACTCACTTGTCTAGTTGTGTACTTGTTAACTGTGCAATATTTGTTTCTCTGTTTTTAAACTAGCATATAATTCAGCACTACTTATTAGTTGCGCTGCAACATGCTAGCGATTGTACTTTTCTATCTTCGATCAATCAATAAACAATTATTATTATTTTTATGGGTCCTGTCCTGGACCTTTTGGTCTTATCTTCCAAAATCTTGGTGAATTCTTCTTCTTCGGTATACGTGTCAAAACTGTATTTAACCTCCTTGATTAGTTGAAGACCCATGAAGGGGGGTGGGGTGGTCGCTTGGGTTTTGTGAAATATGTTAATTGGGCTGTTCCAAAAAAAAAAAAATTGGAGGGGGGGTTGAAGAGCTTGGATTTTCTACTTTCTGACTCCCCTTTCATTAATATCCAAGGGCCTTGACCCCCCTTCATCCAGGGGCCTTGGCCCCTTAAAAATTCTATCCAAGCGGCTTGACCCCCCTATAATTTCATCCAAATCCAGGGTTAAACCCCTTCAATCCAAATCCACACTCACTAACTACCTTATGTAAAATCCGACCTCTTCAACCCCCCCTCCTCAGTTATTTTTTTGAATGGCCCATTTTGTGGTGCATGGTGTGAGGTACAATGGGCAGGGGTGCTACTCCCTGTCCGCCATGCTAGAAAAAGAAAACCAAACCAAAACCAAACTACTACTAGTACGTGCCCGAAACTGAAGGATTTGATCCGGGGGGGTCAGGGTCAACCTTCAATTTAGTAGTTCCTTTCTCCTGTGTTCCAGGTACTGTAACGGCCCGGGTGACGCGGGGTGGCTGGGGCGGCTTGTGGTGAGGATAGACGATGTGGACCAGGTACTGTCTGCGCTGGAGACAGAGCTACAGAACGAGCGAAATGGGGAAGCAAACAGGTCTGGCAGTCTGGTGTTGTCGTTGTTCTTGTTACCTGTTCTTAATGTTTATTACTCCGCTAGACGTGGACTCTATAACATTTTTTAAAGCAAATGATATAATAGTCAAGTCAAAGTTTATTGCACAACGATTGTCACGGGTACAATGTATGGAAAATAATAAAGTTACTAGTTGGTATAGGTCTATCATAATGCTACATATATGGTCAACGGTTACTGTGTTTGCCAGAGTATTATAAAGAACTATTGGCTAGAAAATATTTCAACACTATAAGGTGTCACAGAACCATGCTTTATCCGGGACCATGCTCAGGCACGGTTCTGAATAGTCCACCCGTCACGTACCCAGAACCGTGCCTGATCCTAGCCCTAACATATTCAGGTACAGAACTAGATATATGATAGGCATGGTTCTGGAGCAGTCCAAACTGGACACACGTCCTACTGGATACTACTATACTGCATGTTACAGCCACGCCTTCAAGTACCAGAGTTATCAACCAAGAATTGAGGTATTCAAAAACTGGTATTTGCCCAGAACTATCATAGACTGGAACTCGTTGCCACCAAGCACAGTTGGGGCATCATCACTAGAAAGCTTTAAACAACTCCTGCAATCAAATTTGCAAAGATTGAGTGTAACAAGTCGTTTGGTGTGATATAGCTAGCTGCCGCCGTGCCACGTGCCTGTGAAGCTGGTATGTTACGCCAAAGGGCGGTTATACCGGCTATACCGATACAGATACAGATGTTGTTGTCAAACCCTCTGGTGCTTTGCTCATCTGGCTCTGTACTTTCTTCACACAGTCAGCAGGGACTGTCTTCTCCCAACACATCACCACAGAGGGGCTCTCAACTTACAGGACCAAGTGGTTCTACTAGCGTCAAAACAACTCAGGAAGACATGCGTCCAAAAAACATTACACCACCACCCAGTGGCTCTCAACCTACAGGATCAAGTCCTACTACTACTAGCTCCAGAACACCTCAGAACAACATGCGTCCAAATGTCACACCACCACCCAGAGACTCGATGGAGAATGGAGAAAACAACGTCGTCAGGGCGCATATGCGTCCAAAAACTACACCAGCAAGAGTTAGTGACTCGATCAAGAATGGAGGAAACAATATCAGGGCACATATTAGTCCCAAAATGACACCACCCAGGGTTAGCGACTCGATGGAGAATGGAGGAAACAACGTTAACGTCCGGGCGCAGCTGCAGAAAACTGTCTGCCTGTACGAACAGGAACGACAGGAGACTGTACGGGAGACGGTGGGGAAACAACGGGTACAGGTGGAGCAGCAGATAGCAGGTCTGTGGGAGGAATCTTCTTGACGAATTACTAGTAAATATATTGTTACTAGAAGATTCTTCCAACAGTGACAAGTTTGAAGGGTAAAAATACTGACCTCCAAATTTTCGATGACTATCAGTTCATCTTTTTACCCTTCAGACTTGTCACTGTTGGAAGAATCTTCTAGTAACTGTATCTATACGTGACAAATGAATCTCTTCATTGATAGTAAATATATTGTTTTAGACACTGCTACTACTACTAGTAGCCTGGTTACCAAACCTATTTTAGCTCCCGAGTCCTAATTGCAGAGAGGATGTAGGACTCGGGAGCTAAAAAAAGGTTTGGTGAGAGTGTATCAACAAACTGTTCATTGATACATTCTAACTTCTAAGCAAGGAAAAAAAGAAGACAACAATTTTTCCCTGCAACCTTTGCTTGAAGAGTGCATGTCTTTTTTCTCTCCAAGTACTGGCCAATAATTTCCATCTTAAAACAAACTTTTTGTTCACAAACATGAGTTTTATTAGTGTATCTTTGTCTTGATTGTACATCTCTATGATGATTCCACAGGTCTCATACTCTCCTATTTTTGTCGGTGACTTCGTATATATTGTCCAATGTTCTTTCCCCTTAATTGTTTAATCCGTACATTAAATCTCTTCCAGGCTTGTGGCACCATGTACACAGCAGCTGTCCATCCTGCAGGATCAGCACAAACTGGACAGCAGAAGACAGCAGGACAAGGTCAACAACCCCCTTTAAACAACTCTTTTGCTGTCCTCTTGCTATTCCAGGCCTGTGGCACCAGGTACAGCAGCAGCTGTCCATCCTGCAGGACCAGCACAGACTAGACAGCAGGAGACAGCAGGACAAGGTCAACAACCTCCACATTAACTCTTTTATGCTGTCCTGTTGCTGTTCCAGGACTGTGGCAGCAGGTACAGCAGCAGCTGTGCATCCTGCAGGACCAGCACAGACTGGACAGCAGGAGACAGCAGGACAAGGTCAACAACCCCCTTTAAACAACTCTTTTGCTGTCCTCTTGCTGTTCCAGGCCTGTGGCAGCAAGTACAGCAGCAGCTGTCCATCCTGCAGGACCAGCACAGACTGGACAGCAGGAGACAGCAGGACAAGGTCAACAACTCCCCATTAAATAACTCTTTTATGCTGTCCTTTTGCTGTCCCAGGTCTGTGGCAGCAAGTACAGCAGCAGCTGTCCATCCTGCAGGACCAGCACAGACTGGACAGCAGGAGACAGCAGGACAAGGTCAACAACCCCCCATTAAATAAACTCTTTTATGCTGTCCTCTTGCTGTTCCAGGCCTGTGGCAGCAGGTACAGCAGCAGCTGTCCATCTTGCAGGACCAGCACAGACTGGACAGCAGGAGACAGCAGGACAAGGTCAACAACCTCCTGCTGCATCACGGAGAGAGGAGCCAGCAGCGGATACAGCAGTTAGAGGAGGACCACCGGCAGAGGGCCAGGCACGTACAGTATTTTTTATAAACTTTCTTCATTAAACAAAAACTATGTTTTTACAATGTCATTAAAAAAAACTGTCAATGTCTGGGAGTTGGTGATTCACTACAAATAACCAGGATGGAGGCCTGGCGAACCCCATCTCGTATTAGCCACAAAAAGGCAGCAGAATCTTCAGCTAGTTGAAGGCGGCTGCCTCAAATTGAAAGAAGAAGGGAGCTGAAAGCTAATGACTTCTTCTGGGATATCATTCCAGGCACTTAGACGCTCAGCTACAGGAGGCCATAGTGAGACAAACCCAGCAGCAGCGCAGGAAGCAGGCGTACGCGTTAGAGAAGCTACGGCAGCTGATTAAACAGCAGGAAGAGTCCAACGCTGCTGCCCAGGCCATGACAACTCTGCTGACTAACTTTGGTCAGAAAGACGCTCTCCCAGCGGACGTGCTAAACGACGCACACAGGGCCGTCACGTTAACGTCCAACCTTACAAGACAGGTCAGTGGTCGAAATACTTTTTTTTCACTTAGTAGTTAGTAGAATATTCTTCAATCAGTGACTGTTTTTTGTAAGGTGAAAACACATACCTCCAAATTTTCAATGTCAACTGTACCTAGTCTCACGAGAACACTGACAACATTGACAACATTTCTCACCTCACCTATCCCGTGACCTCGCTGAGGGTCGTTAGGGCACCATGATTTGGTCAAATATTAAATAATAATTTGCAATTTTGCAAATATTTCACATGCAATTTAGAAAATACATGCCAGATTACTAGTATATCTTTTCTAACACTTCAGGTGTCAGCGGCCAGTGAAGCCGGGGGAACGACAGACCAGGTGCTGCAGCTGGCTCAAACCACCCTCGCCGAGGTCAAGGCCATCCAGGCGAGGGTGGTTCAGGCGGTGGAGAAAGCTCGAGAGGAGGCGAGGAAAGCCGAGGAGGAGAAGGCACGGCAGGAACAGGAGCGGGCTCGGGCACAGGTTTGTTGTTTTTTAGTCCTGCGGAACACAACAATTGTTGTTCTGCACATACAGTACCATCTTAATAGCACCCTGTATAGGTACAATTTGGGGGCATTTTTCGTGCAACGCATCACACCGCAGCGAAACGCAACGAATGCGGAAGTAACTATGCCACTGCAGGGCAAAAAAATTTGGGGGTCTATGATCTAATCAAGACAGGAAATTATTGAAAAATATTGTGCCAGGAATGTCAGCTGGACAAGGGTTAAAATTTTTGTTCTTTTTGTGGAAAAAACTCTACTGTAGCTGTTTACAGTTATTCGTGCCAGGACAATTCCTTGTGAATCTGTTTTACCCTGGTACAGACATCACATCTCAGAATCAGGGTTGACCCTTAATAATAGTCTGCGACTAGTTGGGTAACCCTGACTGTTGTAAGCTAGCCTGGGTTCCATCCTGGTTAGTTTATGTCCGCTCACACAGTCGCTACCACCAACTGTGTGAGCGGACGTAAACTAACCAGGATGGAACCCAGGCTAGTTGTAAGCCGAGCTAACAAATAAATAAATAAATCAGTTACCCTGCTTTATTATGTTTACCGAAGGAAAACATAATTATGTTTACTCAGTTTCTTCCTCCTCCTCTTCTGTTCCAAACACTAACCTCTGACCTGACCAATGACATGATTTGTTGACGTCTGTCACCATGGTGACTGGTGTTGGGTTACATAATGTTGCAATTTCATGGTCTGCTCTACTCCTGTCACCATATACTCGTAGTACATGTATGTGAATGTGTTTGAGTAAAAATTAACAGAGCAGACCATATCCGAAGGTAAACATTGTGCATTTGCTTTGCATTGTTTTCCTTGCACAGGCAGCTGAACAGGAGAAACAAGCAGCACAGAAACAGGCAGAGAAGGCTGCAGCCGAGAAAGCAGTGGCTACAAAAACTGCGTCTTCAGCTAAATCAGCAGCTGACGCCAAGGAGGCCTTTCTAACCACGTACACACAAACTATCAAGAGGTACAGGGAACTGCAGACCAACCTAGACAACTGTGTACAGTCCTACCAGCCGCTAGCCAAGTCTACAGGTGCTTCTCTTTTTGTTATTCTCTTCCCTTGACATGTTCATCTATTTAAATTGAGTTGACTTTATTATCATAACAATGGTTTATTTGTCATTCGTTGCTTGTACAGAATGGCAGGTCCCTGTCCCTTTATGTACTTTTGAGTTGACTTTATGTACTTTTGAATCGACAAGCCTCACTGGGTCAGTCTACTGAGGAAGATCAGGGTGACTGGTCAAAAGCTCTAGGTGAGAGAACTTTTTGTGTTGGATCTTAAGTTAAACAATAAAATTTTTATTCATTCATCCCTACAGACTCGCAGTTGAAGAAGTACGCGTTTGACCTGCAGAAGGCAGTGAACACTCCGCTGAACGCCATCTCCTCCCACTCTGCTAGTCATGTCACAGACAAGCTGAAGCGACTGTGTAAGCTGCTGCAGGGTCAGCAGGTCAGTGTTAAAAATGCCGCAGTGTTCTTTTGAGCATATGCTGTGATTTGGGACCCCTATTTTTGTGGCGTCGCGTGGTGTAGTGGTTAGAGCAATCGACTATGAAGCAGGAAGACCCGGGTTTAATTCTGGGTCGTACCCGGGACATGTCTTAACATGCGTCCTGACGTTGTGCCCTTGGGAAAGGCACTTTACACGACTTTCCTCACTCCACCCAGGTGTGAATGGGTACCTAACTTCGGTTGGGGAAAGCCGTATTGAGGTCATCTTGTGGCGCTGAATGGCAGCCGCACAGACCCTTGCGACAGTTCCACAAAAATTTGTGGAACAAATATGTGTATCATGTGTATTATTTGATTGTTGTGATCTGTATTGATTATTATGTGATACCCTGTATCAATTCAGCCATATAAAGTCTGCGACTGCATGGGTACTGTTTGGACAATAAAAAAAACAAAACATAGGGGTGCTGGGGGGGGGGGAGAACCTTTATAAACCTTATTTTATTTTATTTATTTTATTCACATTTATTTTTCAAGGATTGGGCAAAAATTTATGAAACTTATCTCAGCCCTCTCCTCACACATAAAAGGAAACAATAAAACAAAGTAATAATAATAAGAAGAAAGGACAAAGGTACATAATGAGCTGGTGTACAAATCAAAATCAATAAATGAAATCAAACAAAACGTCCTTTATAAATCTTGCAAGAAATGAAAATATAAGACATTAGTATTATAATTTTAGAATGAAGCCATATAGCAAAGGGAAAACCTTAACTTCACAAAATCTGTCCCCCAATAAGCAAGGAATAGTCCCTCAATATTAAGCAAGAAATAAAATCATATCCAGTTGCTTGAGTAACTGTTTTTTTAGCGTATCTTACCTGGATGTACCTTCACCAATGCCTACTGCCTACCTGCCTACATGCACAAGCCAGGTACTAGCCCCTTGCTCCCCTCCGTCAGGTTTCTCCAGCCAGCTCTATCAAGAGCAATAGTCTCTGCTTCTCTTAGGGTAAACCCTGTGTCACTCTGGATCTGGTCTTTCCACCTCTTGGGTGGTCTTCCCCGGGGTCTGGGGTTTTTGAACTTCTGGTGGTATGCCTTATAAACTAAGGTGTTTGCTGGTCTTCCCTTCACTGATGTATTGGAAAAATTTTTTCTGACAATGCAGGTTGAGGTGAGCGACAAGAGGATCTCCACGGCCAGCCATCCCCTCGCACTGCCCTTCTGTAAGGAGCTTCTCGCCAGGAAGTTCATGAAGCAGGGTGTGGAGCAGATCGCTTCGAACCACGAGTCTGCGTTCCCGATCGCAGCAGTGGCGGTCTGTATCTGTATCATTCTGTATTCTGTATAGCCGGTATAACCGCCCTTCGGCGTAACACACCAGCTTCTGTATCTGTATTCTGTTTCTGTATAGATCAGTAAAACTCCAGCTTTGCAGGCACGCGGCTACATCACATCTAACCCTTGAACATCTAACTCTAAACATGATGAAGCAAGTTTAAACTGTAATATCCAACACAGTAAATTGGACTCACCCAAATTTTTGACTGTACAACTCCAGTCTTTGTCAAGGAATGAGCAATCCACCGCTTCCGTGACGTCACACAGATAACACACGTAACTCCGTGAGCAGTGGATCATAGGTTGCAGAAAGTCTGTGGCGCCCCCCGTCTCTGTTGAGGGATTGTTGTAATGCCCTGATGCAGACGGCCTCTTTAATTCCTTGTGCGAAAAAGTCTGCTCTTGCACTTGAAGGCTTATCTGTCTCTTGATGTTTTCTGTGCTGGAATTAGGTGTAGATGGAGTTTCCTGTTAAAGGCATGACTATTTCTTGTTCTGTTCTGCATCATACCAAATGACTTGTTACACCTAACCCTTGAACATCTAACTCTAAACATTGTTTAAAGATATGCTTAATGATAATAATGACAGTTTGATGATAATGCCACTACTGTACTTGGTGACAGTGAGCTGCACTCTGCGATAGTTCTAGGAAAGAATGAGTTTTTTAACACCTCAACTCTTGGTTAATAACTCTGGTACTTGAAGGCATGACTATTTCTTGCTAAAAATTTTTGCACACCTCAATCCTTGGTTGGTACTTGAAGACATGACTATTTCTTGTTCTGTTCTGTGCTGGTATTAGGTCGGGGTGTGGATGGAGTTTCCAGATGTGGGGGATCTCCTGTTGGCACAGTTCCACCGGGCGTGTCCCTACATCGTGCCGTTTTACCCTCCGCGCATGGACGGGCAGACGGACGAGGACTTCTACAAGTCGAAGGGGTATGATGATGATGACTGGTTTATTGATAGAAGTTACCCTTGTCTTGACTTGTGTTACTTTTGTTCCTTTAGGACTTTCAAAAAACTTGTCTTCACTTATTTGCGTATCAATCAATAGTTCCTGCTTATAAACCTGCATTTCTCCTGCAGTCTATCAAGTGTCACTGACGAAAGGTAGTGGATGCCACCTGCAACGTCAGACCAAAATCATATCCAGTTACTTGAGTAACTGCTTTTTGGCGTATCTTAAATTACCTGGATGTCTAACCTTCACCAACGTAACTGGTACTTGTTGTAACTAATAGGTACGTGTATAAGGAAGGTACTATGGAGAAACAGGACAAGTTTCTGAAGCGAATGTCTGGTATCATGCATCTGTATGAATGAGTGAATGAGTGAGTAAGTGAGTGATGAGTGAGTGTTGAGTGAGTGAGTGAATGAATGGATGAATGAATGAATGAATTAATGTTAACAGCTATCTAACCTGCATTTGTTGTAACAGGTACGTGTACAAAGAAGGACAAGTTTATGAAGCGGATGTCTGGTATCATGCATCTGTACGAATGAGTGAATGAATGAATGAATGAATGAATGAATGAGTGAGTGAGTGAGTGAGTGAGTGAGTGAGTGAGTGAGTGAGTGAGTGAGTGAGTGAGTGATGAGTGAGTGATGAGTGAGTTGGTGAGTGAGTGAGTGAATAAATTGAATGGATGAATGAATGGAATGAATGAATGAATGAATTAAATGTTAACAGCTATCAAACCTGTATTTGTTGTAACAGGTATGTGTACAAAGAAGGTACAGTGGAGAAAAAGGACAAGTTCCTGAAGTGTATGTCAGGCATCATGCGTCTGTATGAACGAGTGAATGAATGTGTGAATGAATGTTAACAGCTATCTAACTGGTGCTTCTTGTTGTAACTAACAGGTACGTGTATAAGGATGGGACTGTGGAGAAACAGGACAAGTTCCTGAAGCGAATGTCCGGCATCATGCGGCTGTACGCGGCAATCGTACAGACCGACACCGGGTCCCGGAGGCACCCTCACGGCGCCGCGCACGGCTGGTGCTGGTTATCCTCCGTCATCAACCTAGACCCCGAAACGGACGTCACCGCCACACTGCTGTACGACTTCCTACAGGTGGGTAAAATAATTTCAATTCAAATCATAAATTAGAAAATTAATAGACTTTAAGGTAACATTTGCAAAGCAACTGCATAATGTTTACCTTCGCATATGGTCTGCTCTGTTAATTCTTACTCAAACACATTCATATACATGTACCTTCCCGGTGTGAGTGGTTGAAACCTTACAGTCTAGTCTTACGCAGCTTGTACTTACATGTACATGTACAAAACTGGTGTGTTATGCCTAAAAAGGCGGTTTACCAATATGCAAAACAAACAAAAATAATTTTGATATTGAACACATCTGTTTGTCCCCAGGTTGCCGGCCATGCGCTGATGAAGGCCTACGGGAAACAGTTCCACAAACTGCTGCACATCCTGTGTAGAGACTACTTCACTCAGATCCAGGCAGTAACAGGAGCCGGACAGGGGGGGCCTGTTTCCAGACTAAAGGGGCTGCTGGAGGAGTGTATCAAAACTCAGAGGATCCCTGCTCCTAAAGGGATGTTGACCTCTGTTTTCTGGACATCATAACACAATGTAGAAGTACCGGCTTTAAAGATACAGATACAAATTGTACTAAAAGAAGCCACAGATACACATCTACGGCAGTAAACTAGGCTTGAGCCTATACCTGCTGCCAATCCAGGCTAAAGGGGCTGTTAGACAAGTGTATCAAAACTCAGAGGATCCCTGCACCTAAAGGGATGTTGACTTCTGTCTTTTGGACATCATAACACAAATTGTAGAAGACAGTACAAGCTTTACAAGCTTTTAGAGATACAGAATCGGATGCAAATTGTACTAAAAGCCTGTCTTCTGCACATCATAATAGTATTACAAATTGTACTAGAAGAAGACACACAGGGCTCGAAAGTCATTTTAAGGGAATAGGTGCACTGGTGCACCCAACCTAAAAATTAGGTGCACAAATTTTTTTTGGGGGTGCACCATATGCAACAAAACCTAATTACAGATCTTACTGCTCCTCTTCTGAGATAAAATGGGAGCTAACTTCAAAATCTTAAACAAGTACTACCACAAAGATTTTATTATTTTTCTGATATCCTGTATATTATGATAAATGAAAGAACTGTTAGAGGAGTGTCGATGAAGGTTAGACACCCAGGTAATAAGATACGCCAAAAAGCAGTTACTCAAGCAACTGGATATGATTTTTGAAACGGTCAGACATTTCAGGTAGTATCCACTTGTCTACCTTTCGTCAGCGACACTTGAGACTTGTCAGTAAGGCAGGTTTAATAAGTACGTACTATTGATTGATATGCAAATATGTGATTTTTTTAAAGTCCAAAAGGAAGCAAAAGTTGTATTTTTGTGTTCTGGACATCATAGCACTAAAAGAAGCCACTATAGTCAATAGTACACGGAAAGCTTATCATATATCACTCTTTGTGTACTGTTAAGATTTTACTCCATAAATGTGCACTGAACATGCAATATGCATGCACTTTTGATATACTTTCAATTTTTGCAGAACAATTTTTAAATGCCTTAAACCTTTACCTCTAACCAGCTTATTATCTTCTTTGAAAAACCCTTGTCCTGCAGGGCCCATATATATATATGGGTTGCACATACAGTACCATCTATATAGTGCCCTGTGTATGTGTGATTTGGGGGTGTTTCTCGTGCAACGCATCACACCGCAGCGAAAAGAATGCAGAAGTAACTACACCACCGCGGGGCAAAAAAAGTCAAGGGTCTGTGACCTGATTACGACTTCAAATTATTTGAAAATATTGTGTGAAAAATGCCAGCAGGACAAGAGTTAATGTCAGGTCAGGGAAGATACCATGGAGTGTAGACTTGTCAATATTGCATATTATGTACAATAATTACAGTTTCTGTGCCCAATGCCTTATGACGGACAAGAATAATTGAAAACAAATAGTTGTAGTCTACTGAGGAAGACCAGAGTGACTGGTCGAAAGCTCTAGGTGAATTTTTTGTGTTGGACCAAAAGTTTTAACTTAAAACACAAAACAAATAGTTGTCAACTGCTGCTTTAATCCACATGACATTGTATAATATTATGCATATGACATACATGTACACACTGCAGATTATGGCAAACATGCAATAAAATTAGAGAGTTAGCAAGTTTTTCTCTTGACTGTGTGTAAGATTGTGTGTCTTACATCTTCTGTTCATTATATACATCATTTGTATGAAGACTCTTGCTAATAGATTTTACCTATGAACCAGATGTGTTACTCAGATGGGCAGTTATGGTATAGTCCAGCTCTGGCACAAATGTACAGATGTTCAGACTACAGTTCTAATTTCTAACATTAATGTCAAAGAATTGGACCACCCAGAATTTGGAAGTTCCAACAATATTTTACTTGTGTGCATGTTGCGGTGTGCAAATTTCCCGTACAACAATATGTTATTGCTGGCCCACTCTTTAGACAAATTACAAATACAGTACAATAACTTCAAATTCTGAAAATGATGCAAAGTAACAAGTTTCATCATCAAAGTTCAGGTATGATGATATTTTACATAACTGTATCATGCCTCTGTGTATTCAAGACAAGAGTACAAAACATACACAAAAATTTCAAGTTGGACAATCTTCTTTTTTTCAATTCCTTTATTTTGTATGACAGCCTACAATATAGTACAGCTGTATGTGATATTCCTAGCTTCATGTTGTTGGTGTATCAGTATGATCAAAGCTCAGCTCTTATTTTGGTCCTAGCATAGTCTTATTTGCAGGCTCCATGAGTTGAGCTTTTGGGGGGCTTATAATATGCCTTTTTTCTGATAGCATATCATTTCTCAGTACTCCACTTCTTGTGGATTGCCTATGATAAGACCCTCAAAAGCCCAAGTCCTGGAGTCTGCTATGGAAGCTAGTTGCCAACAAATTAACTACTACAAACTAAGGAGCAAATCTAAACATTATACATGTAGAACATCATATTTTTAGGTAAACCCATAACATACAAAGAACAATCAATCATCAACCATACTTCTTATCATAATCCTCATTATAATCATTACCGATATGATCTAAACCTAAAGGCAATATAGCATATATACACAACTACAATGTCCGACATTTGGCTGTCCATGTCCATTGGCTGTGTTGAAAATTATGTTTCTGACTAGCTTCAGCTGTAAAACGTGATGTATCTGTATTCCCATGCTGGCTGCATATACATAAAATTATGTACATGCTTTTAAAGCCTTTTTGAAAATATCACAAATTGTCCAGGCAATCATAGACACAAAAATCATTTTATTCCTTCACCAGTTACACGGTACTTACATATTCCTCATGGGGTATAATCTATTACCCTAACAATTGGAACATCTTTAGATAAAGTTTCACCTACAAGAGATATCTTATAGCTACCGATCCTAAATCAAAGTCAATATGAACAATGCTCAAGACAAAAACTTGGTAATAATCAGTTAGTAGAAAATTATTCAATCAGGGACTGTTTTTGTAAGGTAAAATCACATACCTCCAAATTTTCGGTGTCAACTGTACACCTTGACAACGGAGTGACCTAGTTGAAAATTTGGAGGTACGTGATTTTACCTTACAAAAACAGCACTGATTGAATAATTTTCTACTAACTGTTAATTCTACGTAACTGATGAACCTCTTCAATGGTAATGATCACTTTCATATCAAAGCATGTCTCTAAGAAGTGCCTCTCTGTGGCATGTTTTTCCAGTGTGTGCATGTGACATGGCTTGTACCACACTGTTTCAACACTAACCTGAGTGAGTACAGTAGTGAGCATATATATGTCTTTGACCTTACAAAAGTCGCTGTACTTTTTGTTGTGTCAATAAAGTTCTTCTTGTATGGCTGGCAGGGCAAAACCATAATGATGATAACATAAACTCTAACATCTCAAACAGTGTTACATGTACATGTATGCAGAACTTTGGGAACTGTTGATTGCAGTAGGTGCAATTACTAGCAATTTGTTTTTGTTTGGGGGGGGGGGTGATTGCTTATGTTTGTGACCCAGCAAAAGTCATACAAATTTCTATATTATAGCTATCGTCGATCTTGCTCTATAGCTACTCTCTCTATAATCCATCTTTACACCATTCTTTAATCCATTCCTAATACTGAATGAATATCATTCAGTGTAGTTCATAAACTCCATGTTCGTGAGTGAAAGTTTTAATTGACAATCAATACTAAATCATAACATAAGAATGAAGAACATCATGTATGTCAATACACCATAGTATATGAAGAAAAAGTATTCAAGGAAAATCAGTCATGTGAACAGCACAAAATATGTGTAATTTTCACAAAAATGTGATGCATTTTTGATCAGATATCTGTATTTTGTCTATTGCCCCTTTGACCAGATTTCCTCAAATAGTCTTTCTCTTAGACAAAAAAGTCAGGGAATGATCAAGATCACTTTAATTAACTGTAAAACTAACATTAACAACTGGAAAGTTTCATCAAACACCTGTATCATTCACTAAAGTTATTTGCATTAAGTAGATCACAAAAGGAGACACTGCAATTTTTTTTCAGTAGTTTTCCAGGCCCACTTATCAATAAAGTGTAAGAGCTATGCCGAGGTTGTAAAACCACAATTGACATGATAAACGTACATCCAGACTTTAACCCTAAAACACCCTCTGAAGACCTTTTAAGGCAAAACCTATCAATCAATTTCTGTACCTCAATTTTAGTCCTTCAAAACATTGAACAACTTATAACCTCTGAACTGTGCCTATCTACAGTAAGTCTGAGTGTTGTTTTAAACAACAGAGAAAAGGGCTGTCATCAAATTTGATGATTTATAAATGAGTTTTATTCTATAGTACAGTCTTGACAAATGTACCTCACTTTTAGGCTTGTAACACATGTGGACATTAGTTGTGGCTGTCTATCTTGGATTTTTTCTTTCTTATATTTTCTCAAACACCATTATCTCTTAACTTCCCGGTCGGTATCAATAAATTTTGAGTTCAAATTTTTCACTTATTTGTTTTGATCATTCATTTTACAGTACGTTGCCCTTTTTTGGTCCGTCTGTGAAACATGCAGCCTCAAAACACAACAATTGTCTACTTTCAACAAAAACAATCAATCAATGGTTGATACACCTGTATCATACTGCACTAAAAAAAGTTTGTTAATTCGAGTTTGTTCTGTACCTTCAACTGATCAAGTTTATCTGATTTTCAACAATCTTGAACTGTGAACTTCTCCCTTTGACCTCCCCTGCCCGGTCGGAGGTCAGAGTTCAGGGGTCGTGTATGTGGTCGCGTGGGTTGTAGTCCTCCCACCTCTCGTGGGTCGTCCCCGGTGCCAGGTTGGTGATGGTCACCTCGATGGCCTGTACTTTGATGTTTTTGGGAGGGATGGGGCATTCTTTGTAGGTCACCTGGTCTCCATCTTTCAGTACATACTCTCCGTCAATACTGCACATAGACATGTGTCAGTAAGATCATAATGCTTTAGTCACAACAAATATTACAGTAACAGTGACTTGTATATGTCAATGAAGATTAGACATCTAAATAAGATACCAATTTGAAAGTAACAGTTACTCATTTTTTGACAAGCGACTGGATAATTTTGAATACAGTCAGACAGTTTCAGATAGCACGCAATTTCACTACCTTTCGTCTTTGACTGAAAAAGATTTGTAGTCAACACCTATTTATCCAAAAACTATTTAAATGACATGTAAATGAAGTGAAGACAAATTCTACACAGAATACTGATAGGAAACAAAAAATTAAAGACCTAAGTAATCACTGCCTGACAAAATGTTAACTCACTCTGAAATGTGCACAAAGATGTCATCGGACCCATCATCAGGTTTGATGAAACCGTGGCCTTTTTGTCGACAGAAATCCTTCACAATCCCGTATTTGACTGGTCCGGCCGAGGCTCGTAGTGACCTGGGGGAAACAGGGTAAAAGAAAAAATATGCTCAACATCAAGTAATTGAGTCAGTTAAGATTGTACTTCAACATATAGCTCATCAAGTAAGACTTACAAAGAGCTCGATCTACTATACGACCAAGTTGTTGTTGAATGAATGATTATAGTTTTTGGATCTTGAGTTGTAACATATCGGAATTGTTATACAGGACAATTAGTTTTATTGTACCATCCATCTTGTAACTGCCTTATGCTTGATAACCTGTGTATTAATCTGTTGTCATTGCCAATAAAGAAAGAAAGAATGCGCATATTGTTGACAGTGTAAGTCTGAATTTATAATATTCTAGCTTTTAAATTGTAACAACTTGACAATTCAGCCATTCAGGCTGCCATTGACTTTCACCCTGTACCCATGTTGATGTGAATAAATCAGTGATCATCATCATCATCATGTATTTACAAGTGACAGTAACAGTAACCATAAACCTCCTTGCAGTAACAAGGTGTCTGTTAGTCTTACTCTCTCTCTCTATCCGGTTTAACGTCTGTTGTTCCCCGTAACTGAGGGTTAGACGTGCTTGCACACTGATGCTGCTGGGGCTATGGTAGCTCACCATTTGCGGCAGCTGGTTACATTAGTCATTACACCGAACGAATTACATCTAACCCTTGAACATCTAACTCTAAACATTGTTGAAAGCTATGTAATGATAATGACCCTACCATTGCTGAGATTTACATAGCCACACATACTCTAATATTCTTACTGCTAACACCAGCATTTGACACAAACCATTCATTTGCACCTGATGATACATAAAACATCAAATAAAACGCTTTCATCCCCGTCGCTTAGAAATTACGGTCTGCGGTAACACAAAGCATCAGGCCGTTCTTTGTCACACTCCCCACTTCAGAGGAAACCAAACATCAAACCAAACCTTTGATACAACAGATCCTTCACAAACAAATTGTACAAACCTTCAGAAGTAATTTGTACAAACAGAATCCTTATGATAATAGATTGTAAATATCAACTAGAAAAGGTAACATTTGCAAAGCATTCTTGTACCGTGCAGTTGTGCTCTGGAACGATCTACCATCTGACGTTAAGACACTGTGTGATGTTATCAGTTTTAAGAACGCCGTTTCAAACAGTAGTAGTGTCACCTGATCCTTGACCCTTGCTCGCTACTTTTAAATTGTTAATATCTATGTGTATTTATTGTTGATGTGGTGTACATGTATGTATGTATGTATTTTTAAATGTTTCTACTATGTTGTAATTATGTAATTATGTAATTGTTTGAGCCTTGGAAGATTAGCCCTTCGGGGCTAAAAGGTTTCGAATTAAATGAAATAAATGAAAGCAAGTGCATAATGTTTACCTAAACGCATATGGTCTGCTCTGTTAATTCCTACTCATTATAATAAAAAATTAATTCCTAATTCGTACAAACCTTCAGAAACAATCTGTACAAACAGATCCTTTATCTATTTATTAAAAAATGCAACAAGACATTACACTGACTCTCAAGGCAGCAAAGCTGATATTAGAGAGTCAACATATAAGGACAAAGCACAAAGGGCACATAATTTCAAATCCAGTGTGAATTACAAGAGCAATCATAAAAACTTAACCTATGTCATTCTAAGTAATTAAGTACATATATATATATATATATATAGTGAAAATAACACATTTGGAGGTCAGAGGTCCAGAAAAAAAAATAGACTACCTCATAAGAGAAAATTGATAAATAACAAGGCTAGGAGGAACAGATCCTTCAGAAACAATTTGTAAAAACCTTTAAGAAAACAACTTACATAACAGATGCTTGGCTTGGATTGGATATCCTATATCCTACAGGCTGTCAAAATTCTATGTATCAAATCTGAGCCAACATAAAAACACCGACAGTGACATGAAGGACCATAAATCAGAGCTGTTTGTTGGAGCTCGAAACCTTCCATTAACATTTTTCCAAACCACTGAGTGTGATATTATCATGAAAGCCGGGCAAAACTACACACTTCAGGGCTGGAAGTACTTAGTGCATCCAAAATTTGGAGCTGTGCACCCAATTTTTTTCTGTTGGTGGGTGCACTGGTACTCAAATATTTTTGTAGACATTCTTGTACATATTAAATTTAATGTATAATTATTAGTATACAGGATATGCTTGGTATCTCAGTGTCAGAAAAATAATAAAATCTTTGTTGTAGTACTTGTTTAATATTTTAAAGTTTGCTCCCATTTCAGATTCAATCTTAGAAGAGGAGCAGTAAGATTTTATATGGTGCGCCCCAAAAAATGTGCACCTGTGCACCTATTCCCAAAAATGAATTTCGAGCCCTGGTCATGAAAGGCTGCAAAAACAACACACTTAAACCTGCCCCTGTACCGTGCATTCTTGCACCAGAAAATGTTTTATGGATGAGAGGCTGGCAATTTGGTCCTTTAATTTGCTGATGAAAGCTGGTGATTATTTTCGTGCTGCAAAGAGTAAAATGTAAACAGTAAGAACTGAATCATTCTAACAACCATAGCTATTAGGGGATTGTTCTCTTACATGGGGGACGTCAAAACTGTATTGTACTGCACAAAAATGTCCATTGAACTCTTTAAACTTGATTATTTGAAATGATTCGGAATCACACTTGAAGTTGAAAAGCTAATTCCTAAATCCTTCCTCAAACCAGGTTAATGCCAGTTTTCTCCACCCACCCAGACCACAAATGTACTGTCCCTGAGCCTAATGCATTGCCCCCACTTCTGGTACGTTTTATGCCCCATGCAGTCTAATGGACTGAGACAAGCAGGAACACGCCTACACAGGCCACGCTGTTCACCTGGCAATTTGCATCACTAAAACGCTGTTTTAGCTCTAGGTATGACTGTGCGGGTGGGTGTACCTGGGTACTGTAGACGTAAGAAAGGTTAGGCCTTATGAAAAAAACGTTGTGTTTCCTGTTTCAGTCCTGACAAAAATTAGGGTCAGTAGGTAGGGATTATCTTAGAATACCCTAGAAAAACCTGCCGACCCTCGACTTATTTTGGGGTGGACACCTACATGTACAAGGGACATTTTTTTTTCGAGCTGATCAACCTTTTCTAACTCCACAATCTGACACTTGAGTGATCAAACATTGTACAAATGGTTTTCTAACATTGACATTGAAAATAAAAGTGTCCACATACAAGTTTTGCCTTGTTAAACTGTATTGTATAGATTGGGCTGCTATGAAGATATCACTGAAGTCTAAAAAAAAAAAGGAATAAAAGTAATCCCTACCTACCGACCCTAATTTTTTCAGGACTGAAACAGGAAACACAGCATACATTTTTTTCCTAGGCCTTACTTATGATGTTGACAAACTGCTGGTACAACTGTGTGGGTGTTTCCTACATTTTGTACTAGTACTGTAGACGTAAGAAAGCTTCGAGGTGGGCGGTAGTATTGATTTTAACACACACGCAGGGAGCTGGAAGTATTTGGCCAACGTAAGCAGCAGTCGTCACTGAGATTTTCTTTCCACCCGTAAATGGTTTTGAAAATCCGGGGGTGGAAATTTGAGCCACTTGTGCTGTTTGCAAGCTTTAAACAAGCAGAATAAAGAAGAGGCCAGGCGTGTTTTAAATGTCAGAGGAAGTTTCGGGTTTCTCTTGTGGCCAGACTTGGGGCCTGTCCCTGGTGCTGAAAACCATCAACTGAACATTTTTACGTACCAACGGATCTCAAAATCTACTGTATCAATTCCTGGAATCTAATTTTCAGTTTAGTAATGTAGAAAACTCTAGTTGCCTTTAAATTTAAGTGCCTCTTACAATTGTGTATATTTTATCATTGCAGAAAAATTATTGCCTCTGCTTCCACCCGTAAATGTTTTTCAAAATCTGTAGGTGGAAATTTGAGCCACTCGTGCTGTTTGCAAGCTTTAAACAAGCAGAATAAAGTAGAGGCTGGCCGCGTTTGAAATGTCAGAGGAAGTTTCAGGTTCTCTTGTGGCAAGGTTTTGGGACCTGTCCCTGGTGCTGAAACAACCATCAACTGAGCATTTTTTATGTATCAAACCTCAAAATCTACTGTATCAATTCCTGGAATCTACTTTTCAGTTTGGTAATGCAAAAAGACTCTAGCCTTTAAGATTAAGTGACCAGACTTTGGGCCCTGTCCCAGGTGCTGAAAACCATCAACTGAACATTGTTATGTAAAAACTACTGTACCACTTCCTGGAATATAATTTTCAGTTTAGTAATTTAAAAAAGACTGCAATTGCCTTTACATTTAAATGTCGTGTTTTAAATGTCAGAGGAAGTTTCAGGTTACTCTGTAGCCAGGCTTAGGGCCTGTCCCTGGTGCTGAAAACCATCAACTGAGCATGCTGGATCATGCATCATCAATGCTGATCCATGCATCAATGCTGATCCAGCATGGAACTAGTCTAGGACTTTACCATAAGGAACAGGTCTGTGCAAATTTGTCAGGGTTGGCTGGGATTTGGTGATTTGGGCAGGGGCTGCACCAGCTGAATGCTTAAAAATGTTTAAAGCATTCATGGGTAGGTTGGGAGGTTCGATCATGGTTGTAAGTCAGGAGAACATCAGCCTTGGGCAGATTTACTGTGCATGTAGTACTAGTAGTTACTGTAGTAGTTACTGTTACGGTAGTAGTCACTGTTACTGTTACAGTAGTAGTTACTGTTACTATAGTAGTTACTGTTACAGTAACTGTTAGTTACTGTTACTGTAGAAGTTACTGTTACTGTAGTGGTTACTGTAGGTAGTAGTTACTGAGATTACTTACATGGATTTTGTGCGAGTTTTCCTTGTGCGCAGACTTATGTTACTGTACAGTAGTACTTACTGTAGTATGGCAGTAGTAGTGGTACTAAGTAGTTACTGTACATGTAGTAGATGTAGTTACTGTTACTACTAGTAACAGTAGTATGGCAGACTCCTGGTCAGCAGACTTATGCTACTGTACATGTAGTAGTAGTAGTAGTAGAAATCACTGTAAGTTACTGTAAATACAGTATCATGAGTACAACAGACGTACGTGGAGCGTGTACGAGTTCTCCTAGTCGGCAGTGGGCTGGGCAGCAGGAATCCATCCTTCCCTGGGGACAGGGGCGGCCTGCGTGGGGGGCTGGCCAGGGGCGACGACCCCAGTGGCGACGACCCCAGGGGCGACGACCTCAGGGGCGATGACCCCAGCGGGGAGGTGCTCAGAGGAACCTTCATCGGTGACGCCATGGCAACGACTGTGGACACACCCTCCTTATGGCTGCTGCAGGAAGGGACAACATTTTAGCCATCAACTTTTCAACTACAAATGCTCCTGCAGTTCCAGAACAAGCCACTAGGGGGCCCAAACTCATGTCACTTCTTCCCTACCCCAAGAGCTATCTACCAACCAAAATTTGTGACCCTAGCATGTCCAGATCGCGAGATAGCAAAACTGGAAGTTCTGCTGCAGTACCAACAAAAGCTGCCAGTGGGCCCAAAATCTGCTATTGAGGCCTTATAAGTTATATGAGATGTTCTGCTAAAGTGCTATGCACAATATCTTATATAATATATCATCATATCAGGTGCGGTACGTTCTGCCGTCGTGCTTAATTGGCTCACATCCCTCCCACACACACCCTGGGGATGTTGTTAACCTTTATTTCTATGACCTGAACTATAACGATTGGAAGGGAGAACACCTGGTCCAGCCTTAGCAACCGTAGTTGCCATGGCAACAGAGGAGACTCAAACAAAGAGCCCGTCTGAAAGTGACATCACCTGGACCAGATACCTGTACATCAGGAATTATGAATATGATAGTACCAATTTACAAGAAGTCCACAAGATATTTCCCGAAAAACAGTTCCTCAAGTAACTAAATACGATGTTGAAAATATGCAGTTGTAACTGTCTTTTTAACGTATCTTGAGTTATTACCTGGATCTCTAACCTTCATCGACATTTAAGCTTTTCAATATTATTGAGCAACAGAGACATAGCAGTCCCATAGACGAAATATAAAAACAGATAAAAAAAAGGTAAAATTGGGTCTGCTACTAAAGTCAATCAACCTTTATAGGCAGACACTTTTGACAATCTAATATGGAATATTGCTTCACAGCAGTCTGGTACCAGAAAAAACATATCATTCCTCCTGTAACTGTAATCACCAAATTTGGAGCTGTGCACCCAATTTTTTTCTGTGGATGCACCCGTTGTGTAGGTTTACGTATGTCAAGATTTAAATGGGAGTAGTACTGGTATTCAGCATATTCCTAGCATCTAAGTGTCAGAAAAAGAATAAAATAATTCTTGTAATACTTTTCTTTAGAAATGAAACATAATTCGTTTTTTTACTGACATTGTACTTATTTTGTCTTATATGGTGCACCCACAGAAAATTTTGTGCACCTAATTTTTTATGTTGGGTGCACCAGTGCACTTATTTCCAAAAATGAATTTTGAACCCTGCTGTAATACATTTAATAAAATACAATACTCCAGACATGTAAGAGTCTGGGTAACCTGGTTATAAATAATACATGCCCCGCTTAGGTCAAGTGCTGGCAGAACTTTCAAAAGGAATGTTAGTGATAAATTTCTGCAGTCAGACATTACCTTATTAATAATGCAAAGGTATGGACTACTTTGGTAACAGAATTGGATACAGATCACAATTGTACAAATAATTTATGTGATTACCTGAACATTGCAGTAATGTTAGAATCTGGTCATCATCTGATTAAAAGTTAATTATTGTTAATCTCCATAGTTTACAGATTTTTAAGCGCAAATGTCTGTAAGGATCAAACAATAGTGAGCGGGGTCAAAAAATCGATTTGGCTCATATTTTGATAGTACCCACAACCCCTTGTTGCCATGGCAACAGCCCAATCAAGTTTTGGGGCCATGTTGACAGATTTTTGCGTCTCTACAACATGGAAATTGGCAAAGTTTAGGACGCGGTCACCGCCAACTGCTTTCAGCTATTTCAAGGGGTTGTGGGCCGAGTACTATCACTGTGCAAAATATGAGCCAAATCGATTTTTTGACCCCGCTCACTATTGTTTGATCCTTACAGACATTTGCTCTTAACACTTCAAAAGTTGTCATATCCCAGTAGCACAAAACACAATAAGTTAAACTTAAAGTGACCCAGGATCACAACCCCGTTGCTTTGTAATATATGGGGGAATTTCTGTTGTAAACCTTACGGGTCAAACCTATGCATAAAATAAAACCCAAAAGCACTTAGTAATACATGTATTGAGAAGAAAATTCGAATGACCAAGTAAATCTGGTCTGAGCGTGATGTCCCGTGAGGGACCTTTGCTCAGTATTAGATAAGTGTGCTTGGATGAAACGCAAGGACATCCTTTTCACAAAAATTTAGAGTACCGTGGCTGAAATAAGAAAGTAGCAGGCGAGCCATGAGGTTTGTAATGGAGACTACAATTTTTTTTCTGAAATTTACACGAAAGTAGGCGGCACAAAAATTTGGAGTAGGCGGTGATTTTCGCCTGTTGCCAGCTTGTTTTGACTAGGCTGAAGGAATGGCAAGGTTACATTGCACCACTTAACTAGCTAAGAGATACTGTGACTGTGAGTCCAAACTGCCCAAGAAGACCACTCAGGGACTGATAAAATCTGGTCTATGTGGACTGGTGGTCACTATAGATAGGATGTCAATGGGAAAAATTATCAGTAGCCAGAAAGTCCAAATGTAGAGGTGGACATTTGCAGGTTTGAGTGAACTTAAGAAACATAATTCTTCACCTGAGTTGAGGATGACTACTTAAGCTTTCTGTACAAAGTCAAGGACGGTATTTTCAGCACCAGGGACAGGGACAGGATAATGCTTTTAGCCAGATAACTGCAGCTCGGTTATTACTGGTAATTCAATTCACCACAGGCTTCTAAAAGCACTGTGTGGTACCAGGAGGGCAAAATTAGATAAACTACATACAGAGGTGGGAGGATGTGAGGTCTACACAATGTAGACTGCAGTATTTTGTGCCCTGCATTTTATTTTAAGAAAAAAAGTTTGATACTTCTTCTGAATTTTTTTATATTTTGTTCTATAGCTACATACATAGGTGGGAGGGAGGAAGGTCTATATATGTAGGCTGCAGTATTTTCTGCCCTGCATTTTATTTTTAGAAAAAAATTTTGATATTTCTTCTGCATTTTTTTTTTTTCATTTTCTTGCTTTCTTCTAGAACTACATATATATAAGTGGGAGGATGTAAGGTATATCTGCAAACTGAAATGTTTTCTTCCCTGCATTTTATTTTTAGAAAAAAAGTTTGAAATTCTTCTGCATTTTTCTTTATTTTGTTGCTTTCTTCTATAGCTATATACATAAGTAGGAGGGTGTAATGTCTACACATGTAAACTGCAGTATTTTCTGCCCTGTGTTTTATTTTCAGAAAAAAAAAGTTTGATATTTCTGCTGTATTTTTCTTCACATTCATAATTATTCCTATTTTCAACTGTTGAGAGAGAATATTTTATTCAATCTTCATGATGTAGAAACATTAGCTGGAAATGATACATTAGACCTTGACATTGAAAAGTTGACCTGCATACAAACATGTATGCCTGCGTCATCCCTGCAAGAACAGGAAGTGAGTGGGTGAAAATACGGTTGAACCCAATTATGAGCCGAAGAGAAAGGCTTCAAATATGATTTAAAAAGATGCATTGAAAATCCTGAAAGACAACATTCTGACTCTGAGGGCTCTCTTGGGAAAATGTAGCCATGTCATGCCCTTCAAACACTTCCTCTAGATCCCGAGTGTTTGTGTTGCTGGAATACCAACATTAACATGTAGTCTCCCTGTGTTATGTCTGTCAACACTAAACTGGTGCAGAAAATTAGGAGCGCTCTCAAAATAGTTTTTCCAAACATCTAAATCTTCTACTTATTTGTGGGTCCACCTTATAAGATTATACAAACAATCGGGCCTGCATGGGGGGTGACTTGAATTACGAATTACGCAGAATTTTTGCCACCTATTACAAATTATGTAAAAGTCTCAGAGCTAATTACGACATTACGATTTCCAGCTTATCACTACTATTACGAATTATGTATACATTGACTTTTGGGGAGGCTGCCTATGGAATAGTTGGACTAAAAAGGCCTGATTACGCCTTACGAAAAAAGGCATGTAGGCCCCCAAACATATGATAGAATGACTCCAGAAATGGATACAGTCTGGCCAATTTGAACTGTATTTGCAGGGACCAAAACCGTGCTTCGAGATTAATACATGTCCCAGAAACCCAGATTCCCAGAAGCACATAAACAAACCTGGTACTTAATATAAATCACACCCGCCATATGAAGGCCATGTTACCCACTTGCAGACAGATAGGTGAACTTCATAACATGTTGGGTTGGCATAAAAAAAGAGAATAGTAACAAAGAGAAAAGCTTTTAAAAAATGCCTAAAACCCTGCTTGAAGCTCTGAACAAAGCAAGACTGACAAATTCTAATGTCTTCACCATTTTTCTTGGACATTAATGCATAGAGGGAGTAGCCTGGTTAGTTACTAGTACCAAACCTAGTATTATAGCTCCCGAGTCCTACAGCGCTAGCCTCTGTAGGATTCGGGAGCTATAATACGTTTGGTAACCAGGCTAAGGGAGGAAGGCAAATAAATAGCATGTTTAAACATTAACCTTCTATCTGTTGAGATGGACTTCTACTGGTATCAAAATTATACTGTTTCTGGGATTAGATATAGCAACAAGTGGGTTAAAATAGGTTTTGATTTTTACAGAACTACATTATTGTACCTGTCAACTACAGAAGCTAGTGATGCACACTTTGCCCAGGTTACAGATCATGAAATCAATTCTAATATGATCAACGACATCGTGGATCAATAAAAAGATACATATCTATGTACAACATCTTGTGATAACCCAATTACCAACAGAACTGATGAATAAAAGAAGACACTGACAAATTTCTATACGTCGACCAGAGAAATATTGAGATGTCTTGAAATTTCCCTTTTTTGAGAATTTAGGTTGATTTACGTTTCAGTACAGCTGAGATCAAAATTACGGACTAAATCAGTAGTACAAAACTAGTGGATCAATTTAAGCTTGTAATTGTATGGGCATGTACCACATGAACAAATATATATAGTGCTGATGAGATAAGAATATTAAGATACAATTGACATACAGTTTTGTCCAGCATTTAAGAATATTTTTCCAATAATCTTTAAGTTAGTAAACTGGTGACCACGTCAGGACTGGTAGACATTATAAATGCTCTCAATAGAGAGTCAAACATTTTAGATAGTATCCAAGTAGTTACCTTTAATTAGTGACTGAGATATGATAGATCAACGGTTTAACTGATGAGAGGTAGCGGATGACCTCTGAAACATCTGACTCTCGAGAGGATTTATCAGTTGTTTGTTTTATTTTGTAAGCACGAGCAGTGTTTCTGAAACAGTGTTTCAGACAAAAACAGTCTGGATGAATTTCTCAAGATCTCAAGATTTAGGAAATTTGGAGGAAGATCAGTCATCGTATTTTAGATGATGTAATGAAGTCCTTCATTCAGGTTCTCCAAACTTCACTATCCTTCATAACAATCGATCGTCCCCCTGAACTACTTTCATCAAGGATTAACTGTCAAGGACAATCCACCTATATATATAGCTTATAATGTCTGTCAACTGGCTCCAAATAAGAACATTCGAAACATAATCATTCACCACAGCTACTGACGGTAGATTGTACATATTCTTCTCAATGCAAATTAGTATGACAAGGCATTTTCTACTGGTGAATGGTTTATTGTTTTATTTATAATGTTTATATCAGTCCAAAAAAAGGATGCCATTGCATTTGATTACTATTGAACATGAACCCATCCATATATGCTGCGGCTACCAAATGGCCCTGTTTTATTTGATAACGTTACATACGTTTTGTACAGAGTTTCCTGGCTGAATATTGTGTTTACCCCTGCACCATTCCCTTGTTTGCCCTCCTCTCTGCAGCTGCTCCGTGGCTGTTATTCCCAACTTCTGCACACAAGGAACACCTGCTACCTGGTCATACTACTAGTATCCAAGCAGCGGTTGCGCCTGAACCTCTTCCCAAAAATAAATTTCAATTATATCTATATCACACCGAACGACTTGTTACACTCAATCTTTACACATTTAATTGCAGGAGTTGTTTAAAGCTTTCTAGTGATGATGCCCACTTTTTCTATGCTAGCCAGATACTGTCTTGTACTTTTAGCCACCAAAAGATCTGCTTGGAGATTGGGGAGGCACAGACACACACAACTGGTGTTCACAGGCGTTCATGGCCAGGTCACTTAGATAAAACCTTAACCAAAACACCATGCCATGCTTTCGTCAAACTAGTCTTTCCAGTATGCCAGAAAACCTTGGGTGACTGTGTGTGTTCAGGATACCACATTGACAAGTTTCTTCTGCTGAGACTTTTGACGGCTTGAAAGTACAAAATTCGGGATATCTTTACTCCACACCTATCAGAACACTTAAACTTCTTCCCAACGCAACGCCCCCCTCCCATCCCACCAACAATCTGTCCCGCCAGTGGCGTGTTGTTGGATCGGAAACACGCCTCCAACAAAAACTGAAAAACAACCTGTTTACCTGTGACTTTTACCTCCAACGTGGGACTTTTCTGTCTTCCAAGACGCTGCTTCACCTCCTTAAGCACGTACTTCTTTTCTTGGAAGACGCTTGGAACGTCACGTAGCTGCGTAAGCGCGGGAAAAGGCGGATAATCAGTGGAAGGAAAGGCCGACGTGAAGACAGCCACGAAGAAAAAACCTTTGGGCAGAAAAACATTCGGAGCCAAGGTCACATCAGGTCACTCACCTTTGAACCCCCTGCGGGATTAATTAGCATAGCCAATCAGCTTCGCCGTTAGAGCTGCAACGCGCCACGCCTTAACGCCGTAGCCAATCAGAGACAGCGTACCATCTCCTCTAGCAAACACGTTTTCTCCATATACAGCCTTGCTTGGTTTTTCGTGTCAAGGATTTTGTTGTTTGGTTGTTGTTCGACTTCTCTTAAAAACAGCCAAGCTGTGCTTTAAAACAGCCAAGCTGTGCTTTTCTGCCCCAGGCGACTGTGACCATGTCGGCATCTCTTGTCAGAAAGGCCTTGGAGCTGTTCAAAGATGATCTTATCGAAGGTATGGCGTAAAAACTAGTCTGGAATCGTCCCCAAGTCTTTGGTGCATGGTGCCCCCCTCCCCAACTTACTGTATGTTTTTCCATTCATGTATTGTTCAATGAACTTATGATGCAGCAAATTAGAAAGTTTGAGGCATCAGAAATCATGATTTCATGCTCATATCATTAAGTATGACAAGATAGCATAAAACATGAATTTAGCAGATCTGATTTGATAAATCATCATTAAATGTATAGTCTTTATGAAACATTTGTAAGGAGCTGGTAGCCAGTACTTAGCACCACCAAGTACAGTAGGGGCATTGTCATTAGATATGGTAGCCCCTAAAAGTGCCCCAATAGGGGCTATCTGGGGGTGTAGCCGGGGCTCGTACAACATCTTAGAGACCCGGCAAAGATGAAGATGAAGATATCTTTAAACAATGTCTAGAGTTAGATGTTCAAGGGCTAGGTGTAACAAGTCGTTAGGTGTATAGCCAGCTGCCGCCGCGCTGCGTGCCTGCGAAGCTGGTGTGTTATGCCGAAAGGCAGTTATACCGGCTATACAGATACAGAAGCTGGTGTGTTACGCCGAAGGGCGGTTATACCGGCTATACAGATACAGAAGCTGGTGTGTTACGCCGAAAGGCTGTTATACCGGCTATACAGATACAGAAGCTGGTGTGTTACGCCGAAGGGCGGTTATACCGGCTATACAGATACAGATACATGTAATGTTACCTGTATATTGACACCCCAACTGTCCATGAATTTCAGACAGCAAAGAAGGCACCAAAGGCAAGAGGAAGTCCCAGACACCCCAGAACCCCCGAGACCTAATCAGTACCAACAGGAGAGGAGTGAAGAAACAGCTGAAGAGACTACAGAACCACCGACAGAGAGACCACCTCACCGTCAAGGACAAGATCACTGTGTCTGCTATAGGTACCATACTCTAGGATAGGACTACAGTATTAGATCTAGTTAGCCTCTGTAACAGGCGTATAGAACTAGGGGTTGGATGATCTTCGGCAGTTTTCTGATTAGCCCAGTTCTAAAAAAACAGGGTAATTCAACCAGGCCGGCTATGTTGTCTATATGCAATCAGAAAATAGCACATAAAAGCTCCCAAAGACCCTGAAGACCTCCCAAAATCCCCAGTTTTTGGCATGCTGTGGATGCTAAGATCTAGCCTGGTTACCAAACCTAGCTCCCGAGTCCTACATCCTCTCTAGTTGTGGAGAGGATGTAGGACTCGGGAGCTACATATGATAGGTTTGGTAACCAGGTCATGCTAGATCTGGCTAAGTTCAGGTGTTTGATGTGAAGGATAGCAAAAGTAATGTTTTGCTGTTGAAGAATGGGTCTTTAGGTACCCAGAGTAGTGATGGCAACCATGGCATTGTTTTTTTTTTTTTTACACTACAGTTCTAGTATTTTAAAATTTTCCTCACAAGTGAAGTTTATTTAACTATTAGATTCATCTTTCTTTTAACTTTTGAATTTCATAAGTTTAACCATGCACTTCTCTTGTTGCATTGTAGAACAGTACAAAAGGCAGCAGAAAGAAGACCACACAGCAGAGAACCTCAGATTCATGCGGAGTTTTAAGACAAAAGTCGACAGAAATCTTGAAGAAAAGGTAAGATGGAGTACATGTAATGAATTGATTTGATTTACTGAAATTGCAACAGTGCAATACACGTGGGACACAGGCAGCTGTTGCTGATGTTGTGTCTCACACATAAAAACAAGTACAGGACAGACAATACTCATTTTCACTTGTTGGGACTTGAACCCGGGACCTCCTGGTTCTGAGTTGAGCACTCTGCTATTACACCGCATCTCCCCACGTGTGTTGGATAGGAATTGATTTTACTTTGGTCGCATTACAAGGCACTTTATGTACAGTACCTGTTACATATAGTAATTGTACATTATGATTTTCTTGTTTGGAGTTAAAACTTTAGATCCAACACAAAAAATTCTCTCACCTAGAGCTTTCGACCAGTCACTCAGGTCTTCCTCAGTAGACTGACCCAGTGAGGCTTGTCACGTGGCTTCTTTGAAGTGTGACGTCAACACTGGGTCAGTCTACTGAGGAAGACCAGAGTGACTGGTCGAAAGCTCTAGGTAAGAATTTTGTGTTGGACCAAAAGTTTTAACTCTAAACATATTACTACCAACACAGATGAACTTTCATAATAATTATGATTTTCTGTTTTTTCTTAGATATTAGCCCACCAGCGGGGAAGACTAGCAAAGAACCAGCCAAAGAAGAAGAGAAAGACGAAGGAAACTTCTGTTTTCTCCGAGGACGATTTCTTAAAGTTCGAAGCAGAGTACGTCGGAGGAAAAAAATAAATCATGAAGAACTAAAGCCTTTTGTGTTTGTGTATGACTTAAGATAAGTCTACCAGATACCTTTGACCCAGTGTTGACGTCACACTTCAGAGAAGCCACGTGACAAGCCTCACTGGGTCAGTCTACTGAGGAAGACCAGAGTGACTGGTCAAAAGCTCTAGGTGAGAGAATTTTTTGTGTTGGACCAAAAGTTTTAACTCTAAACAACTTAAGATAACAACACTGCACACATTCTCATTGACATGAACACATTTATTCAGAACATTTCTTCTCATACTTCTCACTACAATACTCTGGTTTGATTTCTTACTTCACAAATCAATTATGAACAGAGAGCTCAAGGTACTAGTAGCTTGAAACATACTTTCTACAAACAGCCCTATGGAGTGAAACCATTCTGCAGTTCATGCAAAAGAGGAGTCCTGTGAATATGATAAAATTGATGTTCTATCATTGACACATGTATATAGGGGCAACGTTGATGAAGGTTAGACATCCAGGTAAACAATACTCATAGGAAATTCAAACTCTACTACTGGATAAATATCAATGACTATACCAGTATGAGTCTTTGTTCAACCAGTTTCTCATTTATATGAGCTGTTAGGTCATTAGTGACACTAAAGAAGAGTGGATGTCACTCGAAATGTCCGGAAATTATCCAGCAGTAGAGTTTGAATTTCCTATGAGTTTATAGGGCAACATACATTCTACAAACAACCCTATATTGTAGTGAAAACATTTTCTGCAGTTCTTGACAGTGTTGCTAGATGGGGCTGCTGAGTGGATCATAAGTTGTAGCCGCTCATCTTGCTTCCCATGCTGCTACCTCCCAGGTCATCATCCTGGATACCCATACTCTGTAGGGAGAATAACACAGGCATAAAGTAGCTAATCGTGTTGAGTGTCAGGATTTAAGGTAGTCATGTTACAGTTATTGAATTCGATTCAAACAAGTCCTAGGAAAAATGTTGTTTCCTGACCGACCCTAAAAAACTGCCGACCCTACCCTTTTTTTTGTGTGTGGGCCCCTGCAAGGGACATAATTTTTAGGGAATAAACGGCCTTCTCTATGTCCATGATCTGGCACCTGAGTGATGAAACATTGTACAATTTGTTTTCTACCACTGACAGAAAATATAAGTGCCCTCATGCAAGTTTTACTTTCAAATTATATAAGTTAGATCACTAGAGATTGCCAAAGTCTAAAAAAGAATAGAAAAAAAAAGAAAATCCCTACCTACCAACCCTAATCTTATTCAGGACTAAACATTATTTTTCTAGGCCGAATGGAAAAGATGAACCTCTTCCTAGACAGATTTAGACAGTTTCCTCTACTGCAAAGAAAAAGAGACAACATCTGGCCTACCTTCTGTACATACTGTGGGTTCACTGCAATCTCCTGGTCCATCTTTCGCAACTGCTCATCCAGACCCATGCACTTTCTCATCTGGGAAACACAGGATAGGAACCAGAAATGTATAACATTGTCAATACTTACTGTTGTATTTAGGGACTCTTTACAATTTCTTTGGCAATAGAGCTATCAACTAGAAAAGTAACATTTTCAAAGCAAATTTATAATGTTTATCTTCATGTGATCTAGTCCACCAAACTATGTACTAGTATACTGATCTGTTTATTCTTAAATACATGTAGTACTCAAACCCATTAATATATGATATTATAAAGTGACCATCCCCTCCAGCTCTGTCCCGCTACAAAATGTACCATAACACCACAGGGTGTCTGCTACAGCACAAGTTACCATGGTGATGGGCGTCTGGTTCTGGTCATTGACCTTATTTGTTTGGAGAAGAAGTAGAAGGAACTAAGCAAAAACAATATGTTTTTCTTTTGTGAAGGTAAACATAATGAGCTGATGTGGTAACGGCCCCTCAAAGAAAGCAATGCAACAAACAGATACACCTGAGGAGCACTACAAAAACTAGAGACACCTGCCTCTTCGTCCAGGTACTGCAGCATGGCAGGGTTGTCATACTTCTCAGGGTTGTCTCGGAAATTCACCATCCCTTCCTTCTGGTCAATAGTGGCATAAATTTCTCCATCCTCAATCTAAAGCAATCAAAAATTAGTACATCAGTGTATGAAATACCCAACTGCATTTTGCAGAGAGATTTACAACATGTGTATTCAAGGAGGTTCAAAAGGAACATCCTTGCTACATTGCAGAAGAAAAATGCTACAATCTGTAATTTTGCATTTATTTATTAAGTGGAGAAGGTTGTAGTACTGAGGCTTGTGTATTAGCAGAAAGTGTTACCAATTGCAGAACAAAATCTTGACTCCTCTGCAATATTGCAGGACATTGAAAAAAGTATGTCTACCATTGTACATCAATAAGACTTCAAACAATTGCAGAAAAAACTTTCTTGCTTGTCACCTTTTATTATCATTGTACTTGGGTAAGACATTCATTGTTTATAATAAATATATAAAGAAGAAGATGCCTTGTTCCTCACCATCTCTAAGACATATTTCTCAGCTTCCTTGGGACCTGACAGCTGTACTCTGTTAGCCATGTCAGCAAGGGACAGGGTCAGAAATGTCTGCAACAACAGAGAAAAATGAGAGAACTACTTCATATGCTGTTAACTAACTGTTTCTGACGTCACGTTCCAAGAGTAGACAGGTCCATTCCGTGAGCAAGGTTGATGGAGTCAACTGAAAATTTGGGGTAAGTCCCAATTTTTTGTAGTTAGTGTTGGAAGTTAAAGCTTAGTCCCTATTTCATAATGACTTGTACCAACACAGATGAACTTTCATGCTAACTATTTAACAACTCTACAATCAATTTCATTTTTATAAACAGAAAGATGTACATGTAAATTTCACATTCAAATACCTTAAACTTACAAAGTACTATTGTGCACTTAGATATGTTTTGTCACTGAAAGTAAAATGTTGTAATTCACACTGTCTAGTCTTTACATTGTTCTGAGCTGTTTCCTCACCTTGGTCAGTCTCTGGATATTTTTCTTGTAAATAGAGGCCAGGCACTGCTTCACCAGCCCGTATGTGTTCTCCTGAAAATAGAAAAAAAAGCATGTCTAACCCTCGGGAGTCGGGGAACAACAGATGATAAAACGGATAATGAGTGTTCGTAAATATCCATAAAACACACATGTAATGCAAATTGACATTATGAAAGGTAATGTTTACCCTTTGGAAGAGGTCCCTGTGCTTGTCGACCACAGCTCTCAGCTCCTGGGGGTTGTTAGTGTTGTAGGCTGTCACCAGATCATGGTAGGCTTGGCTCAGGGGCTGGGGACAGTCAACACTTAAACATTAGTCCATGTCAATATTTTCTTTCCTTCTTTTTTTTTTATTCCAACATTCAATCACAGGACGTGGTGACGGCACACTCAAGTATTTTCAACTTATTTTAATGTCTACTGCAAGAAAAAATTGAGTCTGTCCTCACCTTGATGAACCTGGTGACCACCTGTGACGTGTACTTAGGCAGCTGCAGCACCTGTGGGGGACAACAGGTGTTCTTACTTCAGGTGAACTTTGGTGTTAGTCTTACAAATACATGTACAGTCAAACTTGTCTATACCTGTCCTAAGGTGTTCACTTAGGGTCTCCATTTCTTCTTCCTTTCCTCTCTTTACTGTGGTGTTCCTTCCATGATAATTTTGCCCCATGCAGTAACAGCTAGGTGTAACTGCTTTAATTTTACTTAACTTCTATGACACTTCTAATGAAAGAAGGCCAGATAGGCCAGCTTACCTTCCCATGCAGGATGAGGGACACTAAGACATATTTCTTGTAAGACTCCAACATGATATGGCTGACAGCCATGGCTGGTGTGGTCACAGCCTGGGTGGAGGGGCAACAATAAAATCATCATTCTACAAACACAGGCACAGTGACACAGGCTTATCTTGTATTACTTACTTACTGCCCCTAATGCCAGTCCCGGCATGTAGTGCAGCAACAAAGGTTCTCCAGTTCCCTCTGCTACTTTCTGGAAGCTATCCAAAGTATGGCTGAAGCTCTTCAGTTTTTTCGCAACTGTTCTACGCCAGCTGACGTTAGGTCGTCCTTGCTCTCTTTTCCTTTCCCTTTTATCTTGTATAGATATGTATAAACCAGGGCTATCAAATATCATGATTAAGTGCCTGAAGGTAATAAAGAAAAACCTATACAAGTATGCCTCTTAAATAATCATATTGTTGGAAAGAAAAACACACTTTGGACACCTTGAATGAAGAAAGACAACAAAAATTCTGATACATGTATATGTATATGCATGTATAGGTATGTGTTGATGAGTCCTGTTAGTTCATTAGTGACACTGAGAAAGAGTCGTGGATATCACCCAAAACATCTGGAAGTTATCTCCAAAATTTATCCAGTAGTAGAGTTTCAATTTCCTACTAATGAGTCTTATACATGTAGTTTAACTCACCACTTCAAAGAAGTACAGGGCCCTGTCATAGTTCTTGAGTGCCGTGTAGATCATTCCTCCGTAGTAGTAGTAACTCAGGAAATGTTTGGTATCGAAAGCTCCAGACTTCATAAAAATAAAAAATATCACATTAGAAACTTCAACACAGGAAAAATCTCAGGCATGAATTGGGACCAGAAAAATCTACATCCTTCTTGATCTTGTAAAGGCTGCAAATAAAACTAAAAGTTACAACAATGGTACATGTGTAACTAGAAAGGTAACAATTGCAAAGCAAATGCATAATGTTTACCTTCTCATATGGTCTGCTCTGTTAATTCTTACTCAAACACATTCATATTATAAATCCCTCCTGCCATAAAATTTCAACATAATGTGACCCAACACTAGTTACCATGGTGATATACGTCTGGCTCAGGTCATTGACCTTATTGGCTTGGGGAAGAAACAGTACAAAAACAATATGTTTTCCTCTGGTAAACATAACATAAAACATACAGACTTCTGACAGCCTGATATGGATATGTTCTTGTCATTGAGTAGAGTTTACCAGTTAACCATCCGTACCTCTTTACTGATATCAGTGATGTCTGTGTCCAGGAACGGCAGGGCTGGCTTCATACACTTGGACAGGAGACACAGCTGCAGGAACAAGCAACAGGACATGTATAGACTTAGTCAAGAAGTCCCAATTGACAATGTATTAAAACATGACAACAGTTTACAGATACATGTACATGTACTTCATGTATACACAATTTCTCAAATCTCTTTCTCTCTCCCTCTCTGTGTTTTCCTCTCAACTAGCAGAAAACAAACTACTAGTACTTACCGGTAAGTGTCGTGGTACATTCAGTTTTATTAGATGCCATTTTCTTTCCCTAGATCGCTCACACAACCACCTTGATGGCCAAGGGTAAAGCTTCTGATTCATTTGTCTCCTTTACTGATATTATTAAGAATATTACCATCCAAAACATCAATGTTTCTGTATTAACAAATATGTGTGTGTGCAAACAAACCAAATCAGTCTTGTTTAAACTTAAGGTTAAAACTACATCCAACACAATAAAGTTCCCCTACCCAGAGCTTTCGACCAGTCACTCTGGTCTTCCTCAGTAGACTGACCCAGTGAGGCTAGTCATGTGGCTTCTTTCAAAACTGATGAAGTTTCAAGATAGTATATACAAATCATTCTTTTATAACAAGACAGAAGAATCCATGAGTTCTCTAACCCCCGTACGTACCTGGCAGAGGTCTCCATGTACTGATGTGAGCTGAGCTGGGTGCAGCTGCACTTTCTGGATGGCATGACAGAGGGGGTTAATGCCACGCACCGACATCTTTCTCTCCACCAGGGCATGGGTGAACTGGTGACACAGGTTCGCAACTGGGGAAAAACACGAAAGTATGGGAAAGTTCTTATTTCGGTATCTGTATTGCCAGATTTAGAATGGTCGAACTGTCAAGGGACTTGCTGCAGTTCTTTTAGACAGTTACACATTGCCTTAGCAAACTGTATACATGTACAAAGAACAGCCCATAGGCTGCACGTGTCAGTTTAGGTTTTAAAATAAACATGCGAGCAGAACGTACTGCACCTGTAATGTATTGCATTGGCAGAATGTCTCATATAAGATAGTACATGTATTGGCGTATGTATTATAAGGTTAACATCCCGTGTCTGTAGTTTATATCTTATGTCAGAAAAGATATCGTCTGCAACAGGCAAATTTCTGATGCAACATTGATCAAATATCCAGCAAAAACGGTGAAAAATCTGGGCACACTACGTTCTGCCAACATGCTCAGTTAAGTGTAAATAATGTAAGTGTTTTTCCCTCACAGCTGTCGGTGGCGAATCTGATCTGTTCTCCGTTACAGGCAGCGATGAACAGCTCCACCTGGGAGAACAGCGCCTCGAAGTCAGGCAGCGGGGAGATGGTGAACTTCACACACCTGCAACAGGAGGTGACAATAGTATTTATTGTTCTTTAGAATTAAAACTTTAGATCCAAATGACACAAAATGTTCTCTCACCTAGAGCTTAGAGGAGGCTACATGCATCAGGGCCCATCACCCTTCACTGTAACCGAGACGGGGGCTGACATCGTCTACCAGATACCTTTGACCCAGTGTTGACGTAACGGTTACACTTCAAAGAAGCCATGTGACAAGCTTCACTGGGTCAGTCTACTGAGGAAGACCAGAGTGACTGGTCCAAAGCTCTAGGTGAGAGAACTTTTTGTGTTGGATCGAAAGTTTTAACTCTAAACATGTAATTACATGTACCAATAACATGATAACTAAGTGTTTTACTCACAGTCAACGTTTAGGTGACCGCCTGTCTAGTTCACATTGCACTGTAGCACAGGTGTCGCTGCTATAGATGCAATCCCAAATGTAAAATATTTACATACCTACACATATACATGCACAGTTATAAGTTGCGGTCACAAACGTAAATATTTTACAAATACTAGTAATGCATGTCATTACTTGTGTCAGCACAGGCAGACTCAGCTGGAAACAGCTTCTCACGAAGCTGCAGTGAAACCCAGCACCAAGTCAGTGATCAGGTCTAGCAATTGAGCAAGGACAACAACAACAACAAGGACAGCATCTTACAGGATAGCGAGGACCCCCAGTGAGTGTTCCTGTATGTCCAGCGCTCCCAGAGCTGTGTCCAGGTTAGGAGCATTCTTCTGTAGGATGTCTCCACTCTTGTTGATCAGGTCACACAGCTCACGCAGGTTACCTGGGCAGCAGGAAATAACAACGGAGATTACGTTGATAAAGGTTCAATATCCATATAAAAATCTGTAATTCAATTTAAGTTCACAGGAGCAAAAGTTCACGGTCTGAGAAAAATGGACATGTTCACAGAACTATACATTCATGGTGGCGACAGGTGCAGGAAAAAGAAAGTCCAGGAATTATTTGTTAACTAACTATTATATGATAAGTTCACGGTACAGAAATGACAGTGAAAACAGTGAACATAACAGTACCGTAAAAAAAATCAGGAATTACAGTACACAAGGAAATTGTTACTCAAGCAACTGGATAGCTTTTGAAAACTGTCAGAGGTTTCAAGTAGCATCCACTACCTTACATTTCTGACAACATGGAAGCTTGTCTTGGTGGAATGTTTTAACATATAACAGTACAGGGTTTTGGATACTCAGTCAGTATAATTTCCACCAAACAAAATGACAGTTCAGTAACAATTTGGATGAACTGCAAGAGATCTTCCTACCAGGCTGAAGAGATCTACTCTACTCTACTTGATACGTATATAAAGCAAAGGCTATTAGTCTATGGATTACTACTACTAGTATATGTTTTAGATTTTAGAACTGAGTTTCTAGCTTGACAATGACAGGTTGCAAAAAGCCAAGTCAGTGTCAAGATTCCGTGATTTGCTGCACGATCGCCCATGCTTTACACGCAGCTTGCCCTTCCTAAAGTTACACTTTTTGTTTCTATACTATTTCTTCCCCAATTAAGATCTCATCTAATTGATCAGTAAAGCTAAATAACGACGTACCAGAACCAGAAAGAGCACGAACTTGGTTGACAAATTGCTCTAGTGGGGAGGCCATCTTGGTCAGGTGATGCCATTCGTAAAATAGGGGTCTGACAGGTAAACTCTTCATCACAAAAGTGCTCTTAATTTCTAGTTAGTACCACTGCTGACGTTTAATTTTTGTATTTTCTCAATATTTAAGGTGTTAAAATAACGGTATTATGAAATTAACGTGTAATTTATTAAATTTTCTACCTGTCTGTGATAGTGGAATCTGCCAAATCTTCCCTTTTCGACAAAAAAATATAAGTATATGGACATCAAAATTCATCTTCTTTCACCAAAATTTACAAAATGGCTTAATTTTTATCAGGCTGAAATTAGTATTTCTATTAATAGTATTTTTAGTGAAATCGGACACCACAATGACCTTTCCCTTCTGACCCCTCCTAAAGGTCACCCGGAAGCCGGTAGCCGGTGGTTTCCACAGCTGTGTGCTCGAGTTTTTATTTATCTGGGATGCAAAATATTCACCAACGAGCTTGTAGAAAAATAGGAAAGTACTTAAAAATCTACAGCGACATTTTCAACTCAAGACTTCTCCGAGAAACCACCGTCCAAAGGCGTAAATTTACTTCTTCGTCTCCTAAGATGGCACCAAGAAACTCTCCAAGAAACCTCCGCGTTCTCCTGGACATGGACGGTGTTCTGGCTGACTTTGAGGGACAGTTTCTGAAGAACTTTCGCGAGAAATACCCACAGGACCCTTTCGTTCCGCTAGAGGATAGATCTGGCTTTTACGTTACGAAACAGTACTACGCCCTTGGACAGGATATTGGGGTAAGTTTTTTTTTTTTTAAATTTTGGATTTTATTTTTTTTGCCTGTAAATAATTTTCTCATACTGAGTCATTTAACGAAATTATGCTTATCAGAAAATAGCTCAACTTGAAAGATATATTTGAAAAAACATAAAATATGCTACATCCCTATCTAGTCCCTTATACTATCGCTGTGACCTATGCGCTAGCTGAAGTGATCTACTGTCTTACGAATGCTCCCTTCCAATGTTTTGTCAGTGATCATAATTTTGCTGTATGTTATACCTTATTATGATTATAAATCATTGTAATTTATAAACATTAATTTATTTTAGAAACAGTGTCATTGATGACATATTTTGTTATTGCCACAGTCTTAAAATAGTTTCCCAAATGAAAATAATTTGTTTACATCCAAATCAATGTTTCTGTGCATCCTATAAGGCAATGACCCCACCATACATGTTAGTAAGTCATTCCAACATTAGCTCACACTCTCTTTTGGGGATGGGTCCACTCTTGGTCCTTCCCATAAACACCAAAATGGTAAGGGGCATTTACACTTAATTGTTAGGGAAACTGACAATTTGTAAACGACTGTTTTGGCATCAGCCAATCTGAAAATGGTATTGTATTTGTAGGCTCACTAAGCTGTAACATTATATCTATATATTACATGTATTACTATTAGCAAGTGACAGTACAGTGTAATTGAAAATTGAATAGTGAAACATATGAAAAAACATTGTAAGATATGTGTCTCACCAAAAATGTTGCAATAATTTATGTCCCCTCCCCCCAGACCAAAGCTTTTGGAATCTATGAAGAAAAGGGTTTCTTCCTGAGTCTCCAGCCCATAGAAGGAGCCATAGAAGCTGCCAGGGAGATGGCTGACATGGAGGGGTGAAGCTTTTATATTCTGTTGAAGTCAAGAAAAACACTAGCCTGGGTACCATCTGGATTTTGCTCCACTACGCTGTTTTCTCTAGTGTAGCCAAACAAAATTCAGGATGGTACCCAGGCTAGCAAAACTGTTGCCTGGTATCCAGCCATCTTCAGTTTTCTATCTGTTCAATCGCACTGGCAAAGAACAGTTCAGTTTAATAGGAATATGATGATGAAAGCTGCACGTGGTTGGATACCAGGCTAATAAAACAGTAAAAGTGTTGAAGCCATATAGCTTCTACCAGGCTTTGGTAGTGGATGGATAGAATTGAAATTGGCCATTGTAGATAATGTGCTAGGGGAGTTGGTCCACTGAAGGAGAATATGCAGAAAAAAGTAGCTCCCCTGCAATGTTATCTTTCCAGCCACATCTGAAGTCTAGTAGAAGCTATTGAAGCCTAGCATTTCACAGTTTGTATTGTTGTTTTCATTGCTTTGATTGTTCTTTTGTGTTGATGTTGTTTTTGAGACAATGTGTGATATTGAACTTTGTTGTTTTTGCAGAGTGGATGTTTATATCTGCACAAGCCCCATCAAGAAATACACACATTGTGTTGTAGAAAAGGTAGTACATTTGTACCATTCTTTAACTTTTTAAGTTAAACCATTATTATTAATTATCTTGAATGAATGTCATCTTATGTCCTACCTGTTACCAGTAGTTGTTAATTGTATTACTGGCTGAAATGTGACACCGAGATTGACATTATATTGACTTTGCACGAAAAAGTACCTAGTCCAAGCTGTGTGTTGTGTGCTTAATGGGACTAATGGGTCTCTACCAACAGGATTCTTAAGCGGCCAGAAAGAGTAGAAATTGACCAAATGGACAGATAACATTGCAGTGTATTGTACTCCTTTAGCAGACCAACCCTGGCATGTTATCTGTCTATTTGACCAATTTCTACTCTTTCCTCTTTTGGTATAGGCAGCATATATATAGTATAATGGGACATTCGCCTATGATAAAATATTGCATTAGTTGACAATAAAACCAGCTGTTTGGCCCTTGTTCTATCCCCACAGTACCAGTGGTTAGACAAGCACCTGGGGAAGGAGTGGATGGAGAGAATGATTCTCACCAGGGACAAAACTGTCATTAATGGAGATCTGCTCATAGATGATAAACCTAATATCACAGGTGAACAGATTATTTATCTGTACCATTTTAGTGACTTGCACTAGTATTATGGTTTATTAGAGTATGAACACTCGATGTATTTCCATTTGGTTACTAAGTATACTCTGCTGAAAGATAAATTTATAATCAAACAATAATTTAAACTTGGACTAATTCTGAGGAAACCTTATTGCTTTTGGTCCATTTCTTCTTCTTCTTCTCCAAACAAAGTTGGTCAGTGACCTGGTAACTGGTGCTGTAGCAGACACCCTGTGATGTTGGATTACATTATGTAGGAAGGGGCAGGGCAGAGTTGGAGGAGCTGGTCACCAAATGTATGAATGTGTTTGAGTAAGAATGATCCATGGCCTGAATTCTCGAGGCAGAAGGATACCAACAATGAGTAAGAATAAGAGCAGAAGTAAGTTCAAGGAACTATATGAAGGTAAATGTCTTGCATTTGCTTTGTTAATGTTACATTTCTATTGTTTTTTTTAAATTCCCTGCAGGAGGCATGAGCCCTCCCCAGTGGCAGCATGTCCTGTTCACCTCCTGGCACAACCGAGACGTGACTCTCCAGGGCGGCCAGGTCAGGCTGGACGGGTGGCTGCCTCACAGCGGCTGGAGGGATATACTCGAGCGGAAGAGACAAGAAATAAACAAATAAACATAAAAATATAAAAATATCTGATCGTTAGGGTCAAGTATTGGTGCTAACGGCTCGAGGTTAGCCTCTACCAGGCTCACAGGGCTGCTGGAGAAATAGTCGAGAGTTATAGCCTGTATCAGGCTACGGGAGGCGGCTTGAAGGAGTAGAAATTGGCCAAATAGAGAGATAACATGCATGCCAGGTGTGCGGCAAAATGTACTCTCTAGCGGACCAACTGCCTCGGCATGTTATCTCTCTATTTGGCCAATTTCTACTCTTTCCAGTTGAAGCCTGGTAGAGGCTAGTGGAAAGTGGACAAATAGTCTGAATAGCTTTCCAGAAGAGTAGGCTACAAATTGTACCTTCTAGTCGGCTAGTTCCTCTGCTATGTCTATTGGGCCATTTTCTACTTTTTTTTTCAAGCTACAATGTACCTCGGAAGCCTGGTAGAGGCTAGCTCTGAGATCTGTTTTTGAAGAAGATAGATGTAGCAAGTCTACCTCTCATTTTTAATCATAGAATGTAACTTAATGTAAGGATAAGAAAAACTGTGAATTGTTGATCAATCTGACATTTAGTAGCATTTACAGGTTTTACAAAATTTTCGACCGGTATTTTATCAGGAATTGTGATTATTGTGTAGCAGCCAGCTGATGATGTTTTATCAGCATTATGCAGTCAAGTTGACTTTGACTGTCATACCACAAATGCACAGTAGAATTTTAAGTAATTTATTGGTCATGAAAAATGTAGAAAGTAAAGTATTGAACAAGCCAGGATCTTCTCAGTCGTATTAAGTGTTAGCACTCAAACACATAATGATCAGTGACAAAGAAAAAGTTGCAACTTTTAATTGCACCATGAGTGATTAAGATATTTGAGATTTTCCATCTTTATATAACGTTAACAAATATACATTTTGGAGTACTAGGGTATCAAAAAGTATATTGCAGTGCAATGTTACGGGCAAGACACTTGAATCAATAAAACAGACAATGAGAGATCTGTCTCAATCTCTTTGTTAAAGTACAGGTACCTCAAAGGGTTTGAAAAGTATGATAAACAGTACATGTACTAGACACAGTAACTTCGTAATATGGTGATCCTCCAAAAGAAGCGATGTTAACAGCTCTCATTATACTACTTCCTGTGGTCTCCCACAGCCTCGGTCTGGCGTGACCTCAAACATAACCCCAGCTGTAAAAGCGTTTGTAGTGGACTTGCAGAAGGATGTGAGTTAACGACATTTTCCGGCGCTTAGACCAACTTCCAACCTTTTAGGAACTTCCCAAACAATCTCAGAGGATACTTCTTGTTCCAGCTGTGAGTTTGTGGCGCCTAGTGGAGTTTTAGGCGAGAAAACGCCGGCCAGGTGTGGCGTGTCAGCCGACCGAGCGTCTGACGTACGGAAACCGTCCGCCATTTTCAAACTTCTAACTTGGACCGTGTGACTGTTCTTGTAGCTACTCTGGAGTTTCTTGGCGATCGTAAGAGGAATACTTCGTCCAGAAAGTACGTCTAACAACCCTGTGCTTTTTGGGATTCAGATGAGTACAGAGAAAATGGTCTTATACAACAGGAACTCCGAAAACTCGCATTCATGGTTGCCAAGACTTCAAGTGCTTGTATGCCGCAGTAGGTAGCGACTTGAAGATGTCAAAAATCACTACTGGAAAGCAGAGCTAGCCGCACAATGTAAGCTACAGACAAGGAGCTGTCGTGTTCAGTGGATTTTTATGACATTTTAATAAGGTTTAACTTGTTTTTGAAGCTCTGAAACGTACAAAAACATTCCAAAGTCAGGAGATTTTTGAAGACCCGACGAATGTCCCAAATCACTGGAAAGCACAGCTAGCCATGTAACTTGTAAGCTACAGAGCAGAAACTATCGTGTTCAAGGGATTTTTATGACATTTTAGCTAAGATTTAACCTGTTTTTGAGGCTCTGAAACGTTCTAAAAACATTCAGGAGAGTTTTGAAAAACCGGACGGCAGGCGAAAATACTTTTACCCCGAAGAAAAAAATGGGTGCCTGCTTGAGCCTGGACTCTGAAGAGAGAAAGGCTCGAATGAGGAGTGATGAGATCGACAGACAACTTCAGTACATGGCCAAGGAGGACAGCTCCGTCATCAAGATATTACTACTAGGTAGGTACTTCTTGTAGATTGTTCAAAGTAAGACGTAGTTGTAGTAAACACAAATCTTGTTTGGTTGTGTAACTTGTGTTTAGTTGGTAAATATTGTCAGATAAATATAGATATGGCACTTAGCAAGGTTTCTTTTTGAACCTCCTTGCATTTAGCAAGCAAAGATTTCATACTTTCATAGTGATTGTGATTGTCTGTACTACCAAGGGAGTAAAATTAAACCTCCTTTGTACTAACTACGTAAAATAGTAGTAACTAAAATCTAAGCAAGGAGGTTCAAAATAAGAGAACCTCCTTGGTCTAATTATAAGAAGGCCATAGACCTCAGGCTACAGAGAGCACAAGTTTTTAATTTGTGGTGCTACTGTTGAATTTCCTAGGATTAGGAAGCCAGATTTTTGATAAGATAACATGATTGTAGAATCACTTTTTAATCCCTTGGGTTGTTTCAGCCAGATAATTTATCAATTGAAGAGAATGAAAGGCGTTACAAATCTCTGTCAATTGGTGCCATTGAATTCGTTAACTGCAAGTCATTGTGTTGGTGAATAGCTTTTGTCAATAAAAACTACAAGTCTATCTGACTCTATAATCTATTGCAACTTAGTACCAACTAAAACAGTTACAGTTACTAAGTTGATCTTTTGGTGGCTGCAATACACAGCATCAAAATTCAAATTGGCAGGGCAGTATCATTCAAAATATGCGACTGTTTGGCTGGCCAAAAAATATACCAGCACACAAAAGATTTATCTTGATAAAAACGCCAAAAAAGGCATTAAAGAAAACTGGAGCCTACTAGTTAACATCTTGTACAGTAGACTAAGGTAGCAAAGAGCCAGTGGTAACTACTAGTAATACATATGTAACTACTACAGTATAGGGGCGCACCCAGGCGATATCATGGCACTACTTTAAATTTCTTGCTCAGTTGACTGGTAGGAAAAAGCAAACTGGTCGCGCTGGTTGAGGCACTTGAAGAATTCTGCGAACCTTTGATCTGCACTGATTTCCCGTCAGCGCAGGTTTTAATGCAGACTTAGCGTCCGTCCACGGCGCGGTTTTGCATAATGGTGTCCTGAAACCATGATATAAACACAGGCAGACCATATAGCCTCCGTAGCAGGCTTATAGAACTGGGGGTTTGGTGGTCTTCGGCTGTTTTCTGATTAGCCCAGTTCTAAAAAACGGGGGTAATTCAACCAGGCCGGCTATGTTGTCTATATGCAGTCAGAAAATAGACATAAAAGCTCCCAAAGACCCCCAAAACCCCCAGTTTTTGGCATGCTATGGACTATGGAGGCTAAGCAGACCACTGCTGCAGTTTGTGTACATACAACACCATTACACACTTGGTAAATACGGGACAAAGCACGCAGGGTTTCATGCGGAACTGTTTGGGACACGCCGAGGTCTGTGACCAAAGTGACCTCGGCTGTAGGACTGAGACCCTGTTGAAAAGCGGCCATGTAGTCCAAACAAGCATTTCGAAGTAAAATAAAGGCATTGACTTGACTTGACTTGACCAGCACCTGTTTTTTCGTCAATTGCAGGAACTTTCTGGCGTGTGACAGAAAAATTTTGAAACCAGTCCGTCAAACTTGACGGACACAATTGACGAAAAATCTTGGGTAAAAATATGAAAAAACATCCCATTTCCAATGGTACAACAACAACCACTCTCAACACCACTCAAAATGTGGGAAGTAGCTTTTTACTCCGAGTAGGCTCAATGCAGTGAGTGAGTGAGCATTTTAAAGGTTTGAAAATCCAAAATTTGCCCCCAGACCCCCCTAGATGGCAAGCTCTCTCCCCCCAGGTCCGATCATGAACCTGGGCTGACGAAAAAAAAAAAAATTAAGCTGGATGAGAGCCCTTCTCAGCTGGTCGGTACATTCCCATCATGTGCAGAGAAAAACAAGGAAGCCAATATGTTTAATAATTCATGGCTTGATTGTGTGCAAAGTCATCTGGAAGAAAAGGCAAAAGCCAGTCATTATGGAACATGTATGGACCCACCCTGGAGTAGAAACCCCAGGATAATACTTGTGGGTTTGGGGCTCGAAATTTACTGTGTGTCCCGATGGTCACTGACCACTAAAATTTAGGCTGGGACAACTGAAAGGACACTTTGGGACATTTGTGGGACAATAGAAAAATAATCAACATCAGAATGTCAGCCCTTCTTTTGTCCATCAGGAACGCGTCCCGGCTTTTGGCTTGGAAAAGCCCCACAAATTTCTAATGTCTACTCTGCAGTTATAGTGTGTCCGGGAGTCAGAACGCAAGCATTTTAATAAAGTTGGCTTCAAATTGTTGTCATACATACATTGTATTTCCCAAAAAACTGTTTCGGACAGTTCAACCTCACTTTGGGACAATTCAAATTTATTTTTAGAAAATTTATTTTAAGAGAAAGAAAATTAATTTCGAGGCCTATGGGTTCATGTTGGCATTTCTCCAAACCAGAACAAAGCCCGGTTATTCCCACGAGCTGGTGTGTACAAAAACACTTCATCCTCTGGTGTTTGCGACTTTCAATCAGTTCTGATCCTACATATGTTCTGACTGAGGGATGCTAATGATTTAAACTTGTCCTTGGATTTGGAACAGAATTTGAAAATTACCATTTCTGCTTCACAATGCTTCTTGTGACAAGGTCAGACTGGTTTATTGCTTTTTATTGGTCACAAATATCAAATTGGAGGAATAATATATTATTTATTGTTCATTTTCAGTTCAGGTATGAAGACAAAAAGACATAACAAGATTGTATATAGGTGAAGATCTATAATTGCACACCCTGATTGCACATGTTTCTCTTCAAGTGATCTGTCTTTTACACACAAGTATATTAATTTCAGCATCCAAAAAGGAAGCAACAGCACTACTAGTAGTTAGTTACATTGATTTACAACTTTTGTGCAGATGACTTTATTGAAAGTTTATTGCAAATTCTTGCCGAGGGCTAATTGCAAGAACTTGCGACTTGATAAAATAATAAACAGTAAAAGTGACCATAGATAATGCTAAATACTACTTTTAAATATACATTTTGTAGTTATTGTTGTTAAAGAGATTCATTACTAGAGGATTCTTTCAACAGTGACAAGTTTTTTTTTTTCTATTTCGTTTTTCATTATTTTTCCTCAGGTGCAGGAGAGAGCGGTAAGAGCACGTTGGTGAAACAGATGAAGATTATCCACAGCCAGGGATTCTCTCAGGAGGAGCTCAACAGCTTTAAGGTAAGGTTGACAGTGAGGGTCTTGTCTTGTTAGCAACAGCAAGTAAGGAAGCACATTGGCAGAACGTACTGCACCTGCGCGAAACCCGGAATGTATTGTGCATACTATGATATCACTTCGGCAGAATGTCTCAAACATTGTATAAGGATGTATTCGCGCATATAGGTTAACATCCCCTCGGAAAAGATATCATCTGCAACTGGCAAAATTTTGATGCAATGTTGACCAAAAATCCAATGAAAACCGTGAAAAATCAGGGTTTCGAGCAGGCGCAGTATGTTTTGCAGACGACCCATAACACACTGGGCCCAAAGTAATATCCGGTGTGCAGGACACAGGATAACTTTGGGCCTAGTGTGCTATGGGTCTGGCATCCAGGTTAAGGAGTAGACTAAAGCTAACAAGACTGGACTCCAGGCTAAGAAAAGCTGCCATAGGTCCTTGTTGACAACCTGTTATGTAGTCTTGCTGAAAAGCCTACAAGAAGGAATTGTTGTCTTAATCATCTTTATTGTCTGTGTCCCAATAAATGTAAGTAATTACAGGTTAACCCACAGGAGTAATTAATAGTGGGTTGGGGAAGTTTAGACAATGGGGTCCTCACCTATTTCCTTTTGGAATTTCTTCCAATAATTAAACCCAGCTTCCTGTGACCCTACCTCCCTGGGAAAATCTCTGAAACAACACCAGACAGGCTTTACCTGTTGTACATTCCTTCTCCTGTTATTAAGCCCTTAGGTTAGCCTCCGTAGCAGGCTTATAGAACTGGCGGGTGGTGGTCTTTGGCTGTTTTCTGATTAGCCTCCGTAGCAGGCTTATAGAACTGGGGGTTTGGTGGTCTTCGGCTGTTTTCTGATTAGCTCAGTTCTAGGGGATAATTCAACCAGGCCGGCTATGTTGTTCATAATATGCAATCAGAAAATAGCGCATAAAATCTCCCAAAGACCCTGGAGACCCCCAAAACCCCCAGTTTTTGGCATGCTATGGAGGCTACTGAAACAACACCAGACAGGCTTTACCTGTTGTACATTCCTTCTGCAGTTATTAAGCCCTTAGGTTAGCCTCTGTAGCAGGCTTATAGAACTGGCGGGTGGTGGTCTTTGGCTGTTTTCTGATTAGCTCAGTTCTAGGGGGTAATTCAACCAGACCGGCTATGTTGTTCATAATATGCAATCAGAAAATAGCACATAAAAGCTCCCAAAGACCCTGGAGACCCCCAAAACCCCCAGTTTTTGGCATGCTATGGAGGCTACTGAAACAACACCAACAGGCTTTACCTGTTGTACATTCCTTCTGCAGTTATTAAGCCCTAAGGTGACATAATGCTTTACTGTTGCACACTAAGTCCATAATCTGATAATCATTTTCCACTTAGTAAACGGGCTACTGGGTGCACATATACAGGTGGTAATCTTATACACCTGTTCTGTACACATCTGAAGTGACAAAATTGATTGTGATATTACTGATTTATACCTTTGGATCTTTCGTAAGTTCATGGTAAATATACTGCTTCAAATGTATATTGCTACATGGTTAAAAATTTGAATTAGACGTATATGTTTTATCAACTGATGCAAAGTTGAAGAAAGTGCAGTTTCTATGAGCATTGTTTCCTAGGTAACTCGTGTTACCTAAGACAATATGTAGACTGGAAGAATCTAACCTCTTTGAATGAAAGACTGGTTGAATTTGATTTGCTTATAAGTTATATCCCTGTATCAAACGATTTTAAACCTCCTTGCTTGGTAAGACATTTTATTAGGGTAGTACTAGTATTCTAATAGATAATACAAAGGAAAGTCTGATAAAAATGCCTAAAAGAAAGGTCAAAAATAAGCCAAAGCCTTGTTTAATCTTCTGCTTGAATGTCAACAATGTTGGTAATCTTCCACCATCCTCTTTTGAACAGGGCCAGCAAATAGCTTTGGCCACTTTACAAGTCTTTATCTCATTGCCAGATAAGATAAATGACATGCTGGTAGCTGCTGGATCTGTGCTGCATTAGTTAGGATAAGACTGCCAGTAGGGGGGCATCAATTTACATGCCAGAACCATAGCCTCCACAGCATGCCAAAAACTGTGGTTTTGGGTAGTGGTGCATACCGGTTCACTGGACTTGGATCCGGACTTGTAAAAATGTTTAGGTTCAAGTCCAAAAAAACCTAAAAGTTAAGAACCGAGTCCGGACTTATTACCATAAAAGACCATTTCACATACCCCTTTTCTTTTTAAACCACCTAAAGCCTTCCGTAGATTCCAAAATCTTTGCTGCAAAATGAAGAAAACATTGCCATCGGGCATCGTCAAGTACCAGCCTCCATGTTACGTGGCCAAAGTTTCACCCAGACAACATTGCAAGGTTGCCAACATGCAATTTTGTATATGCCATGGGTTTAGGTCCTGACTTAAGTCCGGACCTGAACCTAAACCTCTGGACTTGAATCCGGACCTGAACCTGAAATTGGGTTTAGGTATGCATCACTAGTTTTG